GCGAAGAAAACTCGCTTGCCGTAAGTCACATGATTTTACTTTGGTGCGGGTTGAATAGGGTTGCTCGCTCTCTACTCCAATTACTCCTCTAAGGTTTTTCCTCATGTTCAACATCTGGGATCTTGTATGATGTCATTTATGATTTTGTTGTTTAAAGTTTAAATTGGTTCTTTTTTTTTCTTTGACGATTGATACACTTCAAATGCTGACAAAATACAAGCAACCTATCTCACAAAAAGTTTATCAAGAGTACAATTTCGAATGGAATCTGGCAATTTGGCAGGATTTGTAAGTTGTTAGAATCACGGTTTCTGGCACTGAAGCCGAAAACTAAAGAAAACTGATTTTTGAGAAATTTAGAGAAGTATGTTTTTTTCCGAATGTAAATTTTGTAAAATAGAAAGAAAAGGAAATTTGGTCTCCTTTATGTTAATTCACCTTTACAGCTTCCCCCTTCCAATTCTCTGATTTTACAGATTATCATTTTTCACTTCAAGCCACAGGAGTTAAATCTTTCCATAAAACCACCAATAAGACTATATTTATAAATTCGAATAGTTTTTGTTTATTTTATTGTAACTAATTCAAGTTACTTCTTTTTTGTGTTTTTTCCCTTCCAAATGTTAACATTTAAAAATAAAACAAAACTTTGCATTATTTTAATTGACTCTCACTTTAGATATTTGTTATAAACTTAGAACAACAGCAGTATAATATAAGCTGTAAAAATAGCACATTACTGATTAAAAAATGCTTAATATTTGTAATTTCACATTTTTTTTTTTTTTTAGTTATATACACTCAAAAGTTAGGATATTTTAATGTTCAGTACAATTAAAAATAAAAATTTAAAGTATTTTAAGAGGACAAAATTTAATATTAAAAAAAAAGGTAACACAAAATATTTAAAAAAGATGCATCATAGTTGAATAAATTTAAACAATAATAATGAAAACATTTTGGATTTGGATCTAACTTATGATGTGAAGTGAGAGATGAACCCTATTCTTAGAAAAATAATGCTTGTTTTGATTAAAAAAAATAAAATTTAAATTTTATAAGGTGAGACATTACAGATTAGTTATATAAATAGCATATTACATAAATAAATATGCATTATTTGTTTAAAGATTAGATAGAAATTAGCCTTAAATTTCTCTGAAATTTGAATAAAATTACTTCGAATGAAATGGCTTAATTCATTATTCAATAAATAAACTTCGTTAATCATACGTTTTAAACAAATTTTCAAGTTCAACTAATAAACGACAGGAATTTTGCTTAGAAATAATTATTTTTAGATTTGATTTCATCGAACTTAATGGTGCTTTACGTTTATTAAGGTTATACATTGAAGTTTCTACTGTTTGAAAAGCTTTTTTCCAACTGGATTGAATATTAATTATGAATAAATATGAAATTAATTTTAATTACAAAAGTTAATGAAGACATGGCTTGACAACAACAAAATGTAAAAGAAGAAAAATTAAAAGATCATAATAAAAGTGATTATGATCTTTTAATTTATTAAACTTTCATTAAATAAAATAAAATAAATACAATAAATAAAACTTCATCAATAAACATAACATAAAATAATTTATTGGACGGAATGTTTGTTTATCATATATACATAACAAAAGCAATTGTGATACAATGATATAAAAATAAATAAATGATTTGATGATTTTTTTTGCTAAGGATAAAATACTTGCAATATATCCAATCGAATGCCTGAAAAAAAATAGATATGATTTAATGAAATAGAGATTTTAATTAAAAAATAATATTTGTAATTTTGTGAAATTTAGTTTTAATTTTTTGTTTGAATAGAGTTTTGATATGAAGGGCTTGAGGCTTCAATTTAATGAGAAGCCACATTTTCATTGCTGTTTGAAAGGATGTTTCAGTTAACACTTCCACGTAGGCAGTAAGATGCTTCCATTACCTGTATAGTACCAATCAGAAAACAATATTAAGGAACAGTTTGTTTTCACCTTAGAAAAAAATATGTGGCTTATCACTATATTGCCTCAAGCCTGCCAAGTAGAAACCTAAACAGCAATACCTTTTTAAAAAATATAATACATCAATAATCTGCATCTAGTCTTCATTGCCTTCAGTTTCTTGCACTGAAATTCTGCAGAATGGACAACAGCCTTTTTTAAGTATTTCAAGCTCGTAATCATCACTATGGAAAAGCTAGAAATGTGAACGTGTAATTAAAAATACAATAGTTGAAGCAATGTTAATGACTGAAAGTGAAATTTGTTAAAAAAAGTTTAAACTCTCTATTGAAACAAATATGAACATTTTATCAGTCATATAATTATATTAGATATTTATAATATAAATAATTGGAAAATAAGAGCATTAATTTAAATTAAATTTTTTGTGCATGCAATAATGGAAACTTATTTGAAACATTCCGTAAATGCTTCTAAAGATGATTAGCCATGCTGATTAGATTGTTGCAATCAAGTATGCAGACACATACATGGAAATCAACTTGTAATTACATACATACGTTCAGAAAATAAAAATGGATAATTACATAAAAAAGCGTTATTTGGATAATTTTATTAATTTTATTTTTTAAAATTTTTCATGGCCATTAACTGCTTGCCTGTTAGTCACAATCTGAAATGATGTCATATTCCAAAGTTTCTGACCCCAAAGATGAAGGAAAATAGTAATCTAATTCACTTTCAGACATAATGGCATAAAAAATAAAAACTTTTATTGTACACGGAGATAAAAAACAGAAGCAAAATGAAAGTTAAAAAGCGCATACTACTCCGAAAAAATAAATAAAATACGCAAGCAATAACTGCCCAGCTGTGGTTTGTTTTCCAGAAACTTCCCCTTCTCTCCCCCTCTTGTTTAAAATCCTTTGAAAACACTTTCAAGGTCATTCTATTGCACTCCTAAACTGTAGCAGTAATTTTACTGATAGCAACACATGGCAAGGAGTACTTCAGAAAGGCGTATATATATGCGTCACTGGCAGCTTAGCGAAGTGTACATACATGCCTGCGGTTGGCAAGGAGTTAATGAAGTTAAAATTATTTGAAAAAATCTGAAATAAAATGAAATTAAAAGCTTCAGAATAAAATATAAAGATTCATATTACAGTGGCTAATGTAAAATCAAACCACAATTTTTTAATTTAAACCTCTTTTAATTTTTTTCCAAAAGAAAATGTATTTAAATTGCCAAATATAATCCAGAGAAAAATTTTAAATAACATATATATGTTTAAAAATTTAAATTGAAAAATAATTCTCAGCGAATGAATGAAAGATATGGAAAGATAGGCTGACGTTACTTCAAGAAGGAAAAAGAAAGTTTATTAAAGTAAGTTTATTAAGAATTAAAACAATCCTAATTAAAAAAAAATTCAAAAAGAGCATTTAACATTGTTTTTGTCCAAAAGGGGAAATTCTTTTTTTGCTTACCTTTTGGAATTGTATAAAACTTCCCAAAATATTAAAATTTTAATTAACACCAAAATTAATTTGAAATTTTAAAAGTAGCAAACAATTTTTATATTTTTAGTCATAAGAATACATGGCTGCAAAAAATTATAATTTTACTACTATTAGTTTTCCTCCATATGAAAATTCCTCAATATAAACTATTTAATGCCTCAAATTACATCAAAATTTGAACAAATTCGGACAGGTTACACATTTTTAAACACAGAAATTGGTGACTGTATTTGTAAAAAATCATTACTTAGAAAAAATTATAACTAATCGAATGTTTAAGATGATTTATGTTTCATAAAATAAATCTCTAGACTCATCTCTTTGATTTTCTAAAACAGCAGTAATGGTGTCTGTAACTTTTTCTAATACAATTTTTTTTTAAACTAGCATTTTATAAAAAAATAAAAAAGATTTTTTTTTCATCAGTAGGACCACTTATAGGAGGTTTAAATATTCCTAACTAAATCTGATTTACTATTTTACTATGTGCCTGCTTACAAAGGTTTCACACTCTTTTTCTTGAACATAGTATAAATTTTGTTCATAAAAATAGAAGAGATAGGTGGTTCATTCTTGCAACATAATAAATATGAAAATGAAAAATGCAATGTATATTACAGATATTAAAAAATCTATTAGCTTTAACAAAAATACAGAAAATTCTCAAGTGAAAAATAAATGAATAAAAAAAAGGGAAAAAATTGTATTTAATGCTTTTTTTTGTTTCAGAAATCTTAATCTGATTATGTTAAAATAAGCATAATATATCTCCTATTATTTAAGAATTAAATTAATATACTTTTTATCCTCTTTTTAATAAATATAAACATGAATGCATATTTATTATATGAATGTATATTTATTATACTAGCTTATAAATGAGATCATACTTTAATGACATCACTCATTGAGCTTACTTTATTACAGGATTCACAACGATGGATTTGGACGGATGGTAAAATACTTTTGAAGTATTGTGTCCGCAAAGGTTTGGGCCACTTGCAAATGATGACATCAGACATATTCATTGCTTCAAGATTTTTACGGTTCACTATTAAAGGACCCGTCTCACCGGTTGAAGCCTACAATAAAACAAAACTTTAAAAATTTTGAATAAAATTTACAATAAAGGCAAATATTTTAAGGTAAAAAAGTTTTCATCTCTTATTTCAAGCTTAAGGTGTTGGGTGTGTCATTTAAAGGTTATATTGGGTACTTCCACCACACAAGAATGACCACAATATTCACCGGACTTGAATCCAATGGCTTTCTTTCTATTTTAGAGGCTCATTTTAGATACAAAGATGTATGGTAAATCATTAAAACTTTGTCATCTCTGTAGATGTATCTTTATAGTAATTTTTATCTTATATATTTTTATATAAATTTAAAATTANAATGGCTTTCTTTCTATTTTAGAGGCTCATTTTAGATACAAAGATGTATGGTAAATCATTAAAACTTTGTCATCTCTGTAGATGTATCTTTATAGTAATTTTTATCTTATATATTTTTAATAATAATTTATATAATTTTTATATAAATTCAAAATTAATTAATTTTAAAAGTAAATTCTTTCTATTTGGCTCATCTTAGAGAAAAAGATCTACGATAAACTTTTAAAACTTTGTCATCTCTGTAGATGTAAAATATCCTGGTTTTTATAATTTGGAGTGAATACCCAAAGTTTTTACATGGGCAAATACCCAAAATTTATAAATATCTGATCTGGATAGATATGAATTTAATTGAAAATTCAATGGTTATAATTTTCTTTTAAGGTTTATAAAATTAGATACATTTAAGATACAAACAAGATTTGCTAACATTGACAATAGTAAATTTTTATTTACTAAGAAGAAAAGCTTATTCAATTAAATATGTAAATTATAATTAAATCCTTGTTTTTTTTCTTAATCTGTGTATGGTTTAATCTACGATAAATTTATATTTCCATTTCCAATATTGTTTCCTACAATTATATTTTGAGATTTTAAAATAAGCTATGAAAGTAGGCAAATTAGGAGTTCCTAATTTCCTCAGTTAGTTAATTCAGGAAAATAAAACTTAGTTATAGTTCTTCCTTATTTCAGGCATAGTTCTTTCTCAGTTCCATATTTATTTGTGATGTAAGGTTATTAAAAAATTAAATAACATAAAAAATATGATTAGAGGCTCTGATTTCGATATTTATGCTGGGTGGGGTCAATACCTAATTATAATTACCCTATAGTTACCCCTAAAAAGGATAGGACAAAATATAGTAGATGAATAGTGACAAATAGTAGAAATTTTGTGAAATTTTTAAAGGTCTTTACTTTGAAATTCAAGAAGATGTTACAGGCAGAAATGTTTTGATATTTATTTGCTTAGTAGTACTTAAACAAGCTTTAAAATTTGAGTGTACTATATCTGTTCAAGTTATTGTTTATTAACTTGTATAAATGGTAGATAACTTTGAACAGTTTTGGAATAAATGGTGTCAATATATTCTGTTGAAATTTTTCAAAGAAACTTTTTAAAACATTTAGAAAAGAAATGCATTAAACAAAAATTGATAACAAAGTATTCTAATTCCATTCATAACTTTCAAAAAAATATTTTATTTCATAACTGTCGTTGAACAGCTGACCCGATTTGGTTTAAACTCAACATTTTGAACCCAAGGAAACTCCTGGATCAAGTATTTGGAATTTATATCGACCAGCAATCGCTGGGATTCGAACCCGTTCACCTCATTAGAAGGTGAACGCTCTATCTTCTGAGTCATCACAGTTCTAAAAAAAATTTTTTTCACCCATTTTATATACTAGTCAGTTGTAATGATTTCTAAAGATCTTAAAGTTTCTCACTTCTAACAGTAAAATAACATACAATCGCCAGGAAAATAAATTCACAAAATTAATGAATTTTCACAAAATACAATAAAAAAATTAATAAAAGAGCTGATTAAAGAAGGCTTACATCGAAAGTAAATATATCTTCCCCCATATCATTGTCATAAGAAGAATCTTCAATTTTTAGGTATTCAGAATCTGGAAAAAAAAATTACAGATTTTATGTAAAGATAGATACATACACATAGCATTCAGCAGTAAAGATAATCAATTTCAAAATTTAATAACTCATATTGACAGTTGAATCTATAAGAATTTTATTTAGTACTTATGAAATGAGTTTAAAAAGATAACCAGCAAAATAAATTATACACAAAAACTGTTAATAACAGCCATACAAAGTCTCAATGAGAAGTGGTCCAACACCTAGTTTTATGGTTTAAAATATAAAACGATGTTACGCCCTGAAGCAAGTCAGGTATAACATGGTGCTTGAAGTCTTTCGCAGTTTTCAAATGAAATTAGACATTAGTTTTAGTGGTTACCTGCTGCCAACATATGTAACTATATAATTTAAAAAAAAATTATATTAGAAATTTTTAAATTTTGAAATTTCAAACTTTTTTATTGGCTAACCTTTATTTATATATGAAACATAGATAGTTATACAAGAAAAAAGAATATGTTAAATAGATATTGTATGTTTTAATATATTATCTAATGGTTGGTTTATATTACATGAAACTTAATTCATCAGACTCTACTTACTAATCAAAGGATCACTAATCAATTGTCTTGATTTTTAGTAAGTAAAGACAGTAAAACCTCTTTAAATTCCTGTTTATAAAATTTGGCTCATTATTGTCGCTTATTTATGCAATGCTAAACTTATTCCTGGTTAAAAAATAATATTAGATAGCCTATTTTCGTTTCATAAACATAAAAAATTATAAGAAAAAAAAAATAAAAAAATTTTTTAGAATTAAAAGTTTTTGCGGCAAAAAACTTCAAATTCTTAAGAAAAAAAGTTTTAATCTATACACAACTTTCTTAAAAGAAGTAATTCTTGCTATTGCCATAAAAAAATAAAATAATCGAGAAAAATTAGTTTTAGCATTTATTTCTTTATAAGCATTAAAGTATGTTAATATGTATTTTAAATTCAATAACTCGAAACACGTATAATGTAAACAAGAACTACTTTATACAAATCTTATACATATATATTTGATTTTTAAAGAATAATTTTAGCCAATTTATTTAAAAAAAATTTACTAAGTTTTCTATTTCTTTCCAATGACAAACTTCTTAAGCAAGCTGTGGAACATGACAATAGTCTGTTGACTTTAGCTTGATAACGGAAATAGTACTTGCAAGAAAACAAATTTGCATCTCATTAAAAATAACAATAATCTAAACATTTTATCACTAATTTCATGGGAGAATTTAATGAGTTTAAAGTTCTTCTATTTATGTCTTCCTTTTTGAAAAATACCTTTCTCATTATTTTAAAGTTTCTTTATATAACCAATGATAGCATTTATTTCCCATTTAGACATTCCCTGCCATTTTTAGACAAAAAAGTTTCATGAATGACGAATACTTTAGAGTAACAAAGATTATAAAATAATTAAAAAATATAATAGAGGTTCCCTATTATTAGTATGCGTACTACTAGTTGCACTTAGGAAAATTGTACACAATATAAGGTTTTTAATTCATTTAAAAATAAAATTCTAAATTGAAATTAAACTATTTTAATTACTACAATATAACGAACTTAAATTTGATCATTTATAAGGTAAACGAGTACTACTTGCTTAAAAACAGCAAAATTTTTTTTGCTAATAATTGAATAATATTGCTAATTGATACTAAATGTAATATTGATTTTTCAACTATATGCATACGAATAAAACATGTTTTATTATATTATTTTATTATGTTACATTATTTTATTATGTTATTATATTATTTTATTATGTATTATTATAATATATGTTACAAAACACTTGCCATTAGAGTAAAAAAAAAAGTTGCAAGTCCTATTTTTTGGGAAAAACTTTCAGACTTTTAGGTATCTGAAACAAAAATTATTTTATTTTCCCTGATTTTTTTGTTGTTGGTATTTTAATTAAATTCCCTCACATTTCCCTGAATTTTCTAAGTTGCCTAAATTTCTTGTTCTATGGCCACCCTGTACATACATTCTTTCTTCATTCAGAAGCGTACACTAGTTATCAAATCATACAGTGTGATTTTTAAGAATTTTATCACTCACTCATATTGCTTTCCATCACTGAGGAACTATTTTCAAATTGTTTTAGTGACTTTTTTGATAACAACTTATAAGCTTCATCATCTTCTAATCCATCCTCCAAGAAAAACTCCACAACAGGTAACACTTCTGCAAAAAAAATTATTGTCTTTAGTATGAGTTTTTTTAAAAAATGTTTTTTCTCTTAAAGTTACGAAAGAATATAAATCAAGTATTCTTTCAAAAAAAAGTTTAATAAAAAAAGTTGAAAATATCTAGAGCTACTTTCGAGATTGTAGAATAATTATTTGTACTTAAACTAACAATTCCCGAATGACTGGTGCAATATAGATGCAAAAATGAAAGATGAAAACATCCAGAGCTACTTTTGAGATAGTAAAATAATTGTTTGTACTTATACTGACAATTCCTGTGTAACTGGTATGATATAGATTAAAAAAAAAACTGACACATTAAGGGTTGCTAATAATATTACATTAAGAAAAAATATAATTTCAAAACAATGACAAATATGAGCAAGAAAAAAGATGCAATTAAAATTTAAAAAAATATATTTATTTATTTTGTGGCACTGAAGTGTACTGATCTCTCATTTTGGACTGTTCCCACATCTGTAAAAAAAAGGTATGTTTATTTAGAGAAAGTATGTTTTACTTGTCTGGTTGAAACTGAAAACATCATCCACTCTAATTAATTAGAATATTTGAAGTAAGGCCCTCAAATCATTAATATTGAGTCTTAGTACATTAAAATCCAATTTAGATAAAAAGTTATTAGGTTTTACACTATTTTTTGAACACTGTTTATTTATATTCAAAACTGTAATATGAAAATGTTTTGTTGCACTATACAAATAGAAATATATAAAACATATTAAAATGAACTGTTCAATTATTTAAAACAAGAAAACTTCTGTTAAAAAACATTCTAAATGTTAATTAAGAAACAAATTAATTTACATATTCCAAAGTTTACTAGCCTCTTCTGTAGCCAGGCAATAAAAATTTACACATACCCAAAATTCTTCACTAAGGTTTACTTTTGAGTGAGTAGACAACTTAATACTGAATACTTTTTATTGCTTTGCTTAATAATATGCTTATAAATTTCAAATCTATAACCATAACTTACCAAATGAAATAAAAGAATACACAAATGGTTGTTTACAGTTGAAACAAATGTTTCCTTGCTTGTTTATTAAAGGATTACTTGTTGAACACCTGAAGCACATTGGTAAAACATCCTAAAATCAATAATGATAAAATGTGAAATACATATAAAAATATCAAAATAACTCTTTATTTTAATTAACCAGGTATATCAAAAGTTTATAAAATTTTAAGAAATTTAATTGTTAAATTTTTTTTATTAATATTATTCTAAGTAATAAATTTCTTGGGAACTACTTTTTTAAATCAAATTTTGACATTAAATAGAATTTAGAGATGACTATTAAATTTAGTAATTATAAAAATAAATTTGCTTCGTGAAATTATCGGTGGATAAACAAATTTGAAATTTACATTCTAATTTTATAATTCAGTTTAATTTGGGCAAGAATTTTGCAGCTATGGTGAAATATGTAAAGAGCACAAATAACATTGAGGGGTTTAAACTTTTCTCTACTCTTCAGAGTAAAATTCTCAGAAAAATAATACGTAGGTCTGAAATTGAATTTTTTAACAATAAAAAAACAGAGAAATGTTTATTAAGAAAACGTAAATTTTTGTGTTTGACTTTTCATTTTAAATTCAGAGTGGATTCCGTTTTTATCTTAAATTCAGATAAACTTAAATTTTTAGAGAATTCCAGAGTGAAATTTTAAAAGTTTTAACAGTATTTCCTGATCTTAATTAAAATATTTTCAGTAGTAACTTAAAACTCACTTATTTAGTGTGTAAATTAACAGATAGTTAAATGTATTAACAATTTATATGTGATTGCAGAGATTCTTTTTAAATTATTTCTTAATAAAAATTGTTTATTAAAATTGCACCCAAAAGTTTCATAATGTAATTAAAAATTTCTATGCAAATAAAAGTACTATTCATCTTACTGAATTAATTTTCAAAAATGTTTATAATCTTAACATTTTATGAAATTTAATTTAAATTAGAAATGGCTTGCTGAACTCAAAGTGCAAATTAAATTATTGAAAAGAAATATTTAATAAAATAACACTGATGACAAGAAAATTATATGATAACTACCCTTTGTTACGTTTTTAAAATCACTTATTGGTAATATAAAACAGATTATTTGATGATAGGTTAAAACACATTCAAGGTAAAGATATGTGTGATTTTTATTAACAACTTGTTATTTTGGCCAGGAAATTTAAAAAAAAATTTAACGCACAAGTTTTAATTCATAAATAAATGACGCACACATTTAAATGCTTATAATGGTAGCTTACCTCTGAATCTGTAAAAGGTTTGGCCTGAACATGTAATGAAGCTGTTTCCACAGATTCTCGAAATCTTTCTGGAATTTTGTAGTTACTTGCCATTTGATAAGCCATGCGAGACATTTTGTATGCCTTCATTGCACAGCTTTGTTTTGCAGCAGCATAAAATATGCGACTAGTAAATGGTTAAGCACAAAATTTTGACAAAAGAGAAAAATTCAGTTTTCATCCATTTATATATTTTCATTAATATATTTTATTTTATTAATTTACCATTCTTGAACAGTTGGCCTAATAATGGGTTTACAACTACAAAAGTTCATACTCCATAGCCTTGTAATTTTGAACCCAATCCAGAAGACAAATGTTACTTTTTTAACAATCTTTGAAAAGTCATGTATAAAAATATGCCCAAGCCATCTGATACAATAAGATTTGATGGTTTTGGCAACCCTGGGATATTTTTTAAATATATATATAATATAACAGAATATATATATTTCACTTCTCATTTAGATTCCCATTTCCCTAATGAAAGTTTTTAAGAAGTAAATAGTTTTTAGGATTTGTAAATATTTTTGATTTCATTTTTGATTACTAATTGTCACACTGTTATGCTACAAAAGATAAAAATGTTTTTCTGTTTTGAAAATAAAGTTTTTAACAAAACAACTCTTGTTAAAAATGCATAATTATTAAGATATAAAAAAAAAGAATGATAAATTAAAACAAGTGTTAAAAAGTCAAAAAATAATACAGATCTAAAGAAAATAAGAAAAAAAAGGATACAATTTTGATATGCCCGGTAAGTCAGTTTTAACGAGTTCCAACCATAAATAGCGAGACATATTAAACAGGGTCTCTGTATGTTGCATTGTGAAAGGCTCCTCCTAAGAATATCACAAACATGCACTTTAATCATCATCACATGAAATCATCTCAAAATAAGAAAGTAAAAATAGAAAATGAAAAATAAAGAAAACCAAACCAAATAATTAGAACTAGAAATTAATTTACCAAATAATTATAAATATAACTGTAAACATAATATATTTCGGCAGCAAATTGTTGATCCCAAAATTTTCGAATTGCAATTTGAACGCTTGCATCATCTTTTAAATCTAAAATAGAAAATAAATGTTCGATATAAAAATGGCAGGAATTTTTAAACTTTTTAGTTAGCATGAAAAAAATGATAAATGAATTAAGTTTAAACTTAATTCATAACTCCGCAATATTATTAACTCCGCAATATTATTCCATTAATATGTAATTATTCCATTAATATAGATTTAGAGCCCTTGTAAAACAAAATCCACTAAACTATGCAAATTATAAGTTGCAAATTAATATTCTTAGTAGGAACAAAAAACCTGACTCATCATCGATTGAGGTAAGAAAGAGCAAAGACGAGATCAAATTAATTGAAAACAAATTTATTAACAAATTATGAAAACAAATTAATTAAATAAATGCAGTTCTGAGCAAAATAACGAAAAAAAAATACAGCAATACAAATTGACAGTTTTGTGATAATTTTAATGTTTCCCTTGCTCTCTCTGATCTCAATAATCATGGTTTGAAAATGCTTTTTCCTTACTTAATAAAATTCATAAAATATTATTAAAAAGTTTGCTACGAAAAAATTCAAACACAAAATGAAATGAATTATAACTGACCATAATTTACAACCTCCTAGGACAAGTAATAAAGGGATCATGTTTCTTCATTCAAAGAAGATGTAAGATATTTTAAATTATTGTGGGGGCAATATTAAAGGAAATAATGGACTAAATAACTTCTTTGCGATTTAGTCTAAATCAACTGACCAAATTTGGGTCACCATATTGGAATGAACAGTTCAGTGTGGATGTTCTAATGGACATTAAAAAAACACTGTGTCTATGAAATAGTAAATGAGACTTAATGCATCGGTCATTGAAATACGCTGGCCCAGAACAGGCTGTTTCACACATATAAATTAGTTTGTAAGCATCTGGGACACATGCGTACCAGAGGAGGAGGCACTTCTGAGGGTTTGCATAGACAATATCCAATAGTAGTAACCAGCTTCTTTAAATCTCTTCTCGTTAACAGCTATTTTTGTGAGTTGTTCTAAGACTCCAACAGCTTCATCTTGTCGCCCAGCAGTGTAAAAGGCTGAAACAAAACAATAAAATAAAATGAATGTCTTCATGGTGTTATTAACATTATAGTTTAGTACATAAATGACTTTAGGTTAGATCTGGGCATTGAATGCCACTCACCTTTTAATCAAACAATGTGAAAAAACTACGTAATATGTATAAGAATGGGTTTAAATTAATTTTACTAATTCTCGTTTTAAAAATTGTAATCATAACCTTTCAATTTCTAAATGTAAAAGTACTGATTTAAATCCTAAAACATTAAAACAAATTTTTTTTTTAAATAACATATTCAAAACACATGAAGTTCAAGTATTTATTTAAAAAGTGAATATGTTTCCGTGCTGATTTGCTTAATATGCCTAATTAAGGTTTGAAATTAATTTCATTAATTCTTTTTTTCAAAAATTGTAATTATGATCTTTTAATTTCAAAATGCAAAAGTTCTAATTTAAATGTTAAAATATGAATTTTTTTTTTAATCATTACATATTCAAAACATATGCAGTTAAGATTTATTTAAAATTTGAAAATGTTTCTGTGGTGACAGCAAACAGAAAAATGATGAAATTTTAGTAGTGGACGAGTGTTGATAAAGAGCATAGTGTTAAATCTTTAATAGCAATACTGAAGTCCTGGAAAAAATAATGCTCACACCCCGAGTGTGCACCCATGAAATACATGCTTTCTCATGGTGAAGTTGCAAACTGTGTAGTTAGGCTGGTCTTTTGTTCATTTCCATGGAAAATCCCTTTCTGTTTTTTAATGAAAGTTAGTATGAATTCATATTGACTTTTTTTGCAGACTTGTCACATTTTGTGCTTTGACGTTTTTTTTTTCTCTCATAGAAAGCGTATAAAACAATTCAACCATTTTAATAATGTTTAAAAGTTTTCCCTGTATTGTCCACCTTATAAAGAATATCTAGTAAAGAATCAACTGAAAAAGAAGTTACCATTAGATTATATTTGTAATGCATAATAACAATAATATACTAGCTGTAGAAATAATTCTAAAAAATATCTTTTATAAAAAAAAGTGTTGAATAGTACAAAAACATTCTTAAGTGAATATTTATGAACTAGAAGATTTGGATTTCAATTATCTTTTGAATTAACCTTTCAACTTAAATAAGCATAATTTATAGAATTTATAAATCAAGAGATAATTTTTTAATAATCTTTTCAACCTAATAAGCATTTAAAATGCTTTAACCGGTTTAATAGAGATGTTTATTTTAGAAGTTCCCTGTGTTGTCCACCCTTTAAAGAATATGTAGAAGAGAATCAACTAAAAAATAAGTTACCTTTACATTATTACATTTGAAATGTTTTACAACAATAATATAATAGATGTAGAAATAACTTTAAAAAACAATTTCTGTAAAAAAAAAAGCATTGAAATTATGCAAAATCGCTCAAGGAAAATAACTAGATATCATTACCTCACAAGCACACTCCCACATACACAAGCATCTCATGACACTAAGATTCTTTAGTGAATATTCAGGAACTAGAAAACTATTTCAAATGACATATTAAATTGATTCAAATTATCTTTTGAATTAACTTTCCAACTTAAATAAGCATATTTTTAAAATTCATAATACAAAAGATAATTTTTTAGTAAAAATTTTAAACTTTTGTGTTCTTTTTCAAAAGCTCACTGAAATATAGGCTCAAAAGCATTTAAATATGATAAATTAAGTTTGTGAAAAGCTATAATTTAAATAATTATCATAATGTTCTTTTGAGCTACATTTTTGTTTAATAATTATAAATATTTGTTTAAATAATTTTTTAACATCGAAAATTTTTATTTTTTCTAACCTGTAGGACTTAGCATTTAACAACTAATCAGGGTCCAGCAAATTTTTTCAGATCCAGCCCCCCTCATAGTTTTTCTAATGAAAAGAGAAGTCAAAAAATCTATTGTTTTCAAAACAGCTATAATTTCAGAAATAAGTATTAAATTCTCTTGACTAAGACTGTTGAAACTGAATGTGCATTAGAAAGTTAAGACTAATTAGAAAAATTAAAATTAAGACCAATTTGAAAAATATTGAGTTTCTGTAGTAGATGAACATAATTATAATTTGTTTAATGTAAAAATTAAACAGGATAATTATAATAGGGAAAAAAAGCACCACATTAGTTTGTTCCATTTTAAAAAGGTTCTAACAGAAATTTAGAAAATCAATTTCTTTTGAAAGATGCTACCCAAATACTCAATGGCTTACCGTCAAATTATCAAAGAAAATTAAAAAATACATTTATCTTAATATTGAATTCATGTTATAAACTTATATTACACCAATAACATTAATATTTGTAATATTTCCTAAATAGTAATGTAAATATTCCCATGAAGTAGAATAACAAAGGACAAAAAAATTGAATGAAATACTTAGTAAACATCAAAATGTGTATTCATTGGGTTAACAATAAAGTATTAAAATAATAACATTAATAATAATGTGTCACCTTTCTGAGCTTCTACAAATCTGTCATTTTCAGCTAACCAATTTGCATAAGGTATGTAAACACTTTCTTTAAATGTAGGATACTGTTTAGCTAATTCAAATGCCTGAAATTTAAATTGCTTTCATAAAGACAAATGCATAACACAAAAGTTTACAAAACTATAATCAGGCATGTGCATATCTGCCAACATTAATAAAATAAAATAATAAAGATTTTACTAGCGACATTTTTCAGGTTACGAGTGAAGCTTATCATATTGTATATAATCAGGTAAGTCAAAAAGATGAATTCAAAATTGGAAATAATATAAGCACTTACATTTAGTGAAGTAAAAATACAGTCAGACTTCTAATTAACGAACTTCTATTTTACGAATTTTTTTGAGGAACCAAGAACATTTTGGAAATTTCTTCTTAAAATAACTTCCAAATAGCAAAGTGAATTTTTTTATTTAGCGAACTTTTCATTGAAATCCACTTTCCCTATTTTCCAAAATATTTCTTAACATTTCAAACTTGTTAACGCCTTTTATGGGGGAAATGACCTTGAATTAATTTTCAAAGCCACTGCTTTATGAAATGTCTTACTGTTTTTTCTAAAAATTATCTTACAGAAAGCAGTAAATTCCCTTTTCCTTTTTGTTTGCATTTGAAATGAAACACTCAGTTCAAATTAACGGATTTTATCCGTAGCAATTAAACGTAAGAACGCACGCGGTAATGTATGTTTAAAATTACTTTTTTAATAAATGCAACAGTAATTTTATACATAAATTTAGATTCTTTTTAGTTGAAAATGTATATATCATGATAGTGCTCTGCTTAATGCTTTGCTCAATTCTTGCTTTCCATGCAGATTTCTTTTATGGTTAAGATTTATAAAATAAATAGTAGATACTAGTTTACAAGATAAAAGTGCATTAATTGCTATTTTAATTACCTCTAGAGTTTATGATTTTAAAACCTGTTTTGCGTTGCTTAAGTATTTTAAAAGGTGATTTTCTATTTAACGAATTTTCCATATAACGAACTTATTATCAGGATTTAGTGGCTTTGTTAAATAGAGGTCCGACTGTATGTATATAAATCTTAATCTAAAGAGGATTTTTTGAACCATTATATATAAATACTTTAACTATTAACACTCAACATACCGCAGTGCACTATCTGTTCAGGCACTATCTATTGAGGAATAAAAGAAGTATTTTTGCCATTAGTTGTTATTTTATCACCAAAAATTTTTTTTTTTTAAATTTCTTCAACAAATACGGGGAAATTTGAGAATATACAGGTAAACAGGAGATAGTCATAAAATACAGGAGTCTTCGTTAAAAAACAGGAGACTTGGTAGGTATGCATGTGGTTGCTGGAAGAAATTTTCTGAATTTTTTTCTCAATCTGTAGTTTTTTTAGTACTTTCTCTAGCAAACGATCTTTTAAATGTTTGTTATTTCGGAATTATTTTTGATTATCAATTATATAATTTGTGTTTGTCTCAGTAGTTACATTCTTTTTTTCCAATTTTGTGTTCTTGAAACTTACACAAACTCTAACAAGAGCCGTGATGGCTCAGGGGATAGAGCGTTTGCCTTCCAAACCGGGTTCAAATCCCACCGACAGCTGGTCAATACTAATTCCGCATCAGGCTTTCATTGACCACTGGGCTGACATAAAATAGCTTCATGGTTTAGAGTCCCCTTGCTGTCAGGCTAACCATACAAGGTTTTTCTATCCATGTAGCGCTAATGTGGGTTAGTTCCATCAAAAAGTCCTCTTTGAAGGCACAAAATTAAAAGGCTACGGAGTTGAACATTAGTAATTGTAAACCCAAAAATTGGGTCAGCTGTTGAATGACGGTTATAAAATAATATAAAGTAAAACTAACAAATCTGCGTAAAAAAAAATCATGGCTCATGAATGAGAATACAGGAAGAAAAGAGAAAAAAGAGGGTGACTGTAAGGGTGGAATAAAAGTCTCGTTAATGAGACTGTGGCTAAGAAACGAAATTAAAATTTTAGATTAGCAGAACTCCGAGAAATTTTTGTCGGAATATTAATTACTCATTTGCGGAATTCCGCTAATTAGCGGAAGAATCACATGATTGTATAATTTATAGACTAATGACTTAAAAATGGAAAGCATTTTTAATAAGCACAATTTTTGATTTCTTTATAGAAATGTCAATCAGAGTTTGAGTACAATAAATTTATATTATTTTTCCATCTGTTAGAGGGTGAAATCAATGTTTTTACCATTAATTTTAAATGGCAAATGGTTTAGTAATGGTATATATTACCTCTTTCCAATTTTTAGCTTGAACATTCATTTCAACTAATGATGGTATATCACCAATTTTATGGAATATTTCAGCAGCAGTACCATACTCTTGCAATCTCTTCAAATGATTTCCAATGAGGGACAGTGTCTTGCGTTCAGTTAAATCCACTTTATTCACTATATTTATCAACCTATAAAAAAATTAGAAAAATAAATAATGTCTATGAAATTAAAAAAAAAAATTCTAAAATATAAATAGAAATGAATTAAAGAATAAATTTTGCAAAGAGGATGCAATTTATTAGAAGAACTACTTGCTTGTGGTGACTAACTTAAAGGGCCCATCAGTTACATAAAATATATTATAAATTTATAATTTTTAAGCATTATAGTTGTAAAACAATTTATAAAAGTGCTAATTTTCAACTAGATTAAATATTTAAGATTGTAAGAAAATACAACTGATACGGCACTTTGAACTGAAACTTTTTTATTTTACACTACATTGTTAAAAATAATGAAATAAAAACAAATATTACAAATATTTAAAAAAAAATAATTAAAGAACTGTTCACAATTTTAAAATATTTTTATGAGCAATTTAGATGTAAATTAAAATTTTTGAAACAATAAAGAATTACAATGATACATAGACACTGACAGGAAACGATACTTTTGCTATACCAGAAAGAAGAATTTTAAGAAGCATATTTCGATAATTATTGGTGAAAAAAAGAACAAACTTGGAAATTCAGAAATTATTTAAAAAGCTAAGCAGAGTGAAATTTATAGAAATACGGGGGACTAAAGTGGCAGGACACTTAATATTAGCTTAAAAAAAATATGGTAATAATAAAAATTGGCATGTTCCATAGGGAAAATAATAGGTACCCATTCTCTAGGCTTACCAGACATGAATGACAAAAACAAAAATGATTTGAAACAGAAACATACAATTGCCAACGAAAAATTAAAAATAAAGTTGCAAAACAAAAGTAGAAAAACCCTGTGAAGCAGAAAATGAAAAATAAATAAAGGTGAGTAAAAAAATTAGAAAAAATACAGTTGCCAAGAGAGGCAAATCAGGATAAAATGCTAGATGAGAAATATGAGTCTTGAGAATGGGTACCTATTTTTGAGCGCTCAAAACACGTCAACTTTTATCACCATCTTCATATTTTTGAAAGCAAATTAAGTTTCATATCATTAACTATATTTTCCCATTTCAGTTTCTTCTTATTGATAATTTAAATTAATTAGGAATTGAAGATAATTGGTGTTACTAAAAAGAAATCTATTAACAATCCATATAACAATCTTAAACTAGCAGAACAATCTTATATTATAAAAGAGGAAGATCAGAACTTCGAAAGGCTTACTGCTTGAAAACTAGCATAAATATATTAAATCGGAAAAGACAAGAATTGAGAGGAACACTAAGGCCTATTTGGGCTGTAGTGCATGTGAAGAAAAAGATGAAAATAATTAGATAGCAAATTATTATTATTTTTTTTAAAAATGTGATTTTCCAGCATATTAAAACACTGTGCAGGTGAAAACAACAATTATAAAAAAATAGCATGTTATTCACTAAAATGTAGAATTTCATTTTATGAAAAAGAGTTTGAAAAGCAAAATAGAAAACAAATTTAAAGATAATAAAATAGCAAGAAAGAATAAATGATGTTAGGAGAGAGCATAATATTAGAAATGTGATAAAAACATTTAAAATTTGATATCTCACAAACTATTCGACCAATTTTGTTCAAATTTCATATTCAAATACAAAATTACATATTTTAAAATGATGTACAAATTTGTATACCTAGCAGTTTAAAATTTTTTGGCTATTAATAAATAAGGAAACATAAAATAATAAATAAAATTAATAAAAAATATTTTTGCATGGTTATTTTCTGTTATCGCTTAATAAATGGATTTTAAAAATTGGCAAAAATGTCTTGATTTGTTTAAAAAGTTTTCGAGATATATCTACCGTATATTCCGGCGTATAACGTGCACTTTTAATACAAAAAATAACATTGGAATTTACGGGTGCGCGGTATACGCCGAATATAAAAAATTATAGATTAAAAAAATTTAAATATAGAAAAATACTTTTATTTTAAAGAAATAACATACCTTTACCTATATACTTCATTGATTTTCGTTATTACATAAATAGTTCATTATATTCGTCTTCCGCTATCAATTACAATTATTAAAATTTTTTTGTATTATAATTACAACTTTTTTTGTATTATCTGTAAGGTGGGACCAAAACATGTCCCACTCTAAAAGGCTTTCTGGTTTTCTTACGCAACCAGGACGGATTTGCCAGATGTTTTTTACCCACAATTTAGCACCATTTCTGTCCATCCAGAATCACATTATTGCTCTTTCAATTCTAGCTCTCACATGCATGTCAAATTCAGTTCTTTTATTTTTTCAAAAGATAGGGAAAAATACTGTTTATTTACGATCTTGAAAGATGAGATATTGCACATGTACAATCCAAATTTTCGTGCGCGTTATACGAAGAGTATATCTTAAAATTTAAAAAAGTAATTGAAAATTACGGGTGGGCGTTATACGCCGGGGCGCGATATGCGCAGGAATATACGGTAAATGTGTAAGAAGTAAAATTAACATTAAGGAGTCAAAATTTTCAACCGTTCTTCTGTCTAAACTATTGGGATCATATTTCCTAGACTTCAGCAACCTCCCATATTTTTAAGGTCAGAAATTAAAATTCATCAAAAAAAGGTATGTTAATTTAAGGAAAGTATGTTTATGTGTCTGATTTTGTTACTTAAAATATCCGCATTAATTAATTATATTTATGGTTGGGTCCTTGAATCGATTGAGTCTTAGAATATGAAAATCTGATCATTAGTTTAAATGTTATTCAGGGCGTTCCTTTTTTGCCCACTGCACTTTATATATTAGAAAAACTATAAAATATTATATAAATTACATTTGAAAATTATTTTAACTCTGTAAGTCATTTTAAAAAATTGCACCCCAAATATAAGTTTGTACCATGTAAAACTAAAAAAAAGATAGATTGTTTCAATTTTAAGATCATTTGAACTTAAGTTGATTATAAAAAATAAATAAAATCTAATAACTTGACTATTAAGGCTGAACAATTAGAATGAATGATAATCAGAAAAAATCTCAACACCATTTAAAAATTTAGATTATTTAAAGTAAATTTTGTTCCAATTACTTCAGAATAAACTTTCAATTTTTATACTAAAACAACTTCAGAAAAAACATAATCTTAAATAATTTAAAGAGTTTGAAAATGATTTAAAATTTTTCAAAAGAAATAAAGAATTTTTTTTTTGTCTATATATGACAACAGGCAATCTTTATTTTTAAAAATAGTATACATAAGTTATATCATGCATTTCATGCCAGAGATATTCTTTTTTTTATACAATTAAAACACAATATCAGTAGCACAGGGAAAAAGGATATGAAAATGTTTTAAAATGTTCTTAAGTCTTACTTATAATAAGTACTTGAATCCTATTATACAAATAATCTCAAATATAATCACAATATAAATTTTTTCAAATAATATAAAATGTTATTAAAAGGCACATTAAAATATTTCATAACTTAAGAAACTTTTTTAAAAGAGTATTGAAAAGAAGAACTTACATATCAGACCAATTATACTCTGCAGCCAATTCAACAGCCTTTTCCACCTCTCCAACAGATAAAAACATCTCAGCAGCTGCTTTCACTTCATTTATGCTTTTGGCCCATTCAGCTTTCTTGATGATCAAAGCCTTCTTTTGCTCCAGGTCATCGGATGCTGACAAATATTCCTAAAACACAAGAATGAGATACAGAGTGAAGATATATTGAAAGAAAAAAAACGAATACCAAGCAAAAACCAATATCTTGAATATGGGAAGGACTGGTGTTATGTAGTATAGAGCAAAATTAGGAAATTTCATTACTGGCCATCTGGTGGCCTTTTAAACAGCGGACACAAATATTGAAAAATTTTAAGCTATTTAAAAAAAACTGTTGATATTAATAATGGAAGGTATTTCTTCTAAAGAGAGAAAATTTTAAGAATTAAGAGTGATTCTTAAAATTCATATTTATTAAAATATGATAATAAAATGCCCCTGGAAGCAATTTGGACAAGAAAAAAAAGGCGATTGGGTAGAAGACACAAAATGATTTTTTTTATATTGTCATTTGTTATATTTAGTAAACGTCCTGTGAACGAAGGTGAATTTGACCCATATTTTGTAGCAATTTTTCAAGAATTGTGGAACAACATTTTGACCGCGTGTGAAAGAATAGTCCTAATGCAGCATGTGCATGTGGTAAAAGGTGACTAAAATGGGTACCCAGTGTCTAGGGGTATAACCAGGTGATTATATCAGGAGACTTGCCCTCCAGATTGGGCATAGGGTTGACACCTCTATCGTGTAAAAACTTCTTTTTACAAAATCCTTCGAAGAAAAACCCTGGATGACTTCATGAAAACAATTTAGAAAACAAAATTTGGATATGAGAATTGGAAGCAGTAAATCGGAAGTCATTATAGAGAAATTTTCAGAGGAAGGCATTGGCTCACATTGGGCTGTCTGGTCAACTATGATGATGAAACAATACTTTTATTCATTTCAGAGCTTTGAAGAAGTATGAATCAATATTTCAAAATTAGAAAAGCAAAGTTGAGTACTTTGCGCACATGTTGAACAGTAACAAGGAATGATACTATACACCCTCGGTACCTTCACAGTCTGATCAAAATCATTCACTGGCTGCTGCCAGAGAATGATCTTGACTTTAACAATCTACTAGGAGATAATTGTGGGAACAATGTACCTGCAACCTTCAATTAAACATGCTGATATTTAAAAAGAAACTATACAAATATAAATAAAAGATGTCTATAGATACCTGTGCTTTGTCAAACATTCTTAAGTCTATGTACATCATTAAAGCCTTCCCAGCAGTGTTCGCTTTCTCGTAAGACTTTGCAGCCAAATTGTATTTTCCGAGGCACGCATAAACATCACCGAGTAAAGCGTATTCATTTTCATTTTTCTTTAATGCCTGCAAATAAAAACATTTGCTTAGCAAAATAATGTAATTTGAAACTTGTTTCATGTTAGATTAATTCATAATAGGATACCTCAAGAGATTTAATCAGTTTCAGAAATGACAAATCTTTTATTCGAATATATGCTTTACGAGCAACTTCCAAGTCCAGATTTTGTATGGCAGCCTCAGCTAAAGCACGCCAATCACTATCAGTAACTCCAAGACATGACACCTGATAAGCTTTCCTAAAAAAGTAAAGCTATTTTTAGCATTTCAAGTATTTAATTTAATCACAGTTTTAATATTTTTCACTTCAAAGAAAATTAAACTAAAAATAATCTCATTAAAATTATTTCCAAATGCATTAATACAAAAATTTAATTTAAAACACTTCTAGACAATAAAACTTAGATATTTTTATTGGAAAATTTTAATTTTCAGCTTGTTCAAAACCATCCATTTAGATTACATGAAAAGCTTTGCCAAATAAAAGTTATACTGTGTTGAAAAAAAGGAGATAGGCTAATGCTTAATGTTTGTTAATTTACAAGTAAGCAAAAAATTTCTGTCAAAAATTAAAAATAAATAAAAATCAGGCACTATTTTTAGGATTTTTATAAATACTATTGCAAACTGCCTGAAGTTTCAGAAGTTTTTTTTATATATAATCTGAATTATTGTCAACTTTGTTACCAAAATAAGTAATTAAAGCAATTTATGTAACATGTAGTTGGCAATACCTTTTGACTTAGACAAAAAATAAATAAGCAAACACATTTTAATACTCATTTTTTATCTAAATTATTTCTTTAAATAAGGGGATGATTTTTAAACTTTTTTTAAAATTTCCCGGCCCACCCTCTTTTATTTACTTATTTTTATTTTTACTATTATTTTTTAAGGTTTAAGAAATTAAGTGAGGAATGTAATATGAATATTCTGTTCTTTATCCTTAAGTAAGCTCTTACATACATGATAAACATCAGATAGTATATGATGTTTAAGAGCTTTTATCATGTCTTTAACAATGATACTTCAAAGCCAATACTGGCACACACTACAACAATTTACATCAGAGGGTAAATGGTGATAGAAGTTACTTGGGCTCTGCATCATGTTCCCCAACCACCAAACTGTATGTGAACTTTTCTGGCTCAGAGACTACTGAGCTCATTACATGCCAGTAGATTCTGAACCATAAAGATATGATTGGCAAACGGTGCAGTTTGATCAGACATTCAGTATTAAGAATGTAGAATTAAACCACACATTGTTTTAGATATTAATATTTGCTACAAATGAAATACATTTCTAAGAAGAGGGTGGAGTATACTTTGTGCTATGTAGACTAAAGCAAAAAAAACAACATGAATAAAGCACGGAAGTGGACATCCTTTGGTATCTTTCCTATAAACAAGAATTTTCCTCCGTCTCTAAACACCGTAAACCTTCAAATAAATCATTTAGAATTTAGGCAGTGAGAAAAGTTCTTGATTATAGGAAAGAAACTATAGTATGCTCGTTTCTGTACTTTATTTGTGATTTACTCATGTTGTCTTCGACTTTGAACTATATTTATTATTATCAGAAAATGGGGGGAACATCTACTTACCCCCATTCTGACAAAAGTAATTTAAGAATTCAATTTATTTCATAATCTTCAGTATTGGCATAACTGTCCAGGGTGTGGTGGGCCTTGGCCTCCTCAAGAACAGCTCTCCATGCTGTTCTCCTTATTGATGGTACAATACCATGATTGTTTTAAAATCTGCATTATTGCATATCGAAGCTATCAAAGGTTTGGACGTCCTATAGTTCTGCTACCAATTGGTTTGAAAATCCAAGTGTTGGGTTAGTTGTATTTAAATGACAAATGTGTCCTGCGAATATTCTGCTTAACTTTACAACATCAATGTCTTTGTAAATTTTGAAAACTTCTGCATTTGTTCTTCTGTTGAAATTGCCCTTTTTTACTCGGCAAAAAGCAGTTCAGAAGATCGTTCTTTCACAGAAGCAATATTAGCCTCTTCTTTCTTTGGCAGAGTCTAAATTTCGTATGCATAGGTCAAAACTGGACATCAAATACGTTTGTAGGGTAGTAATTTGTAATTCCATTTATCTAAGCTGATCTAGGAAAGAATCTAATGGCATGTAAACATTTGTTTATTGTTAAATTTACTTGTGTGAGCAAAATATTTATAAATCAGTAACAGCATATTTTTCCTACAAAATAAACATGCGGGCATTGATAATGTTTCACTTACTTGAACATTTTTTTCTCGATGTATTGGTACATAGATGCTGACAAAGGAATATCAATAGTGGAAATTGCATTGATATGCAAACAGAAAACTTTACCTCCGCAAAAGCCAATCACAAATCCCTAAACAAAACATAAAAAATGACACACCCATGAGAATTTTAATGCAAGTAAAAAAAATTATAAATGGTAGTTATAGAATTATAGATTCAAATTTGATGCTATAAAATAATGTATGCAACAGTAGGCTTCTGTATCTAAGTAGTAAAACATTTTCCGTTCTATTTATTTTTATTATAATAAAAGAGAGTGGAATGATTACATAAAGCCAATCACAGAAGACTTGAGGTTAGTAATGCACAAAACAGCCAATCAGAATTGAGAAACCATGTGGGTGAAATAGTAAAGCTGGTCGACATGTTATAATTAAACTTACTATAGCTTTCCATCTAAAGTTTTCTGGCCACATTTATTCTGAAATGCTATTTTTAAGGTTAACCTAAGCATAAAATGTTGAAGCGAATTTCACTAGAAACTAATGATATAATTATTATGTAGTTTAAAGTAGACTTGCCATTACATGTTTGTCTCTCTTTAATCGCTTCCTTACCAATTTTTTTGGCAAAAATCGACATATTTTTTAATTCTATTAATCAATACAAGGAATGAAAATAAATCATAATACACAAGTTTTAAGTTTTAATTTTAAAATTTTTTATGTCTAAAAACATTTAATTTACCATCAGTTTACTATCCCAAATGAAAAAAGTTAAATATTAGTCTTTGTATGATAGTTTTTAAAACAAGGGGCAATACAAAGTGATACTTTCTAAACCCCAGTGAAATGATACTACATTTTTTTAACTCTTTTTTTCTATGAAAATTCAGCAACCATCGTATATACAATCGCACAAAACACGTGTGCAATCCGACAATCCATAAGCAAAACTTCCAAACATAACTTGACAAACTTCCAACGTAGCAAATAATTTTTTTTGCTTCTGGCCGAGTAAAAAAGTGATAAAACAAAATGCACTGATAAATTCAGCTACGTCGGAGCTTTATCGGAATAATAAATATTTGCAATAAATACAAACCCAAGTGAACTTGAGATAATTAGGGAAGTGGCTAAATATTATCTTAATTACTTGTAAATAAAATGTATATACTTTTAAAATCTTTTTATTTATATGTGTGCCACTCAGCTAATGAGTCAAGATTTTGTGTGTAAACTTATTTAACAGTACTTTTTGGAATTATATAATTAGGAATAGGTATAAATATCTATAAATATAGGTAATATCAACAGTAATTTATAATGAGAAAATTTATAAAATACCTGAAACTTTTGTTGCTGAATGCTAAAATTTTCAACTTTAATGTTTATGAGACCAGCACCAGTAAAACATAGAATGTCTTCATTGTGATTATTCCAAGCAACACTGTTGGCGTTTGGTTCCTATAAGTGAATTAAGTTATTTTATACTTCAGTATAATATTTGAGTCAAAAAATAACTTGCTTCCTATAAATATAAACAATTTAAGTTATTCTATACTTCAAGTATAATATCAGAGCAAATAAACGACTTGTTTATTAAAATCATTAACAGTTATAATACTTAGTACAATATTTGAGTTTTAAAAAAATTTGTTCATGAAAACATTAGTAATATGGTAATTTGTACTTCAAGTACAATATTTGAGCTATAAAATAAAACTCAGATCTTAGACATATTAGCAAATTAAGTTTTTTCATGAGAATAATCATTAGTCTAGTAATATATAGTAAAAACTTCGAATAACTGTCCCTTGCAAGATAGAGTCTACGTGACTGGTGTAAGAGGTGGTCGTTGTTAGTAGCTATCGAGAAATTGATTGCTAAAAAAAAATCGTGAACAGTAGATTCGATCTATTAAAATACTGTTTCAATAATGATCCCTTTTCATTTAAAATGTCATTAAATTGTATTTATCAATAGTTATGTAGTGAAACTAATTTTAGAGCACTTATTTTTTTACTATCTTCAATAATTTTGATTTTACACTTTAATATAAATAATTTATATTAAAGTGTGCTTGCGATTATCATTTGTGTTTTGACTATTCATTTATACTCAACTCCTCCTTCAGTTATTTCTAACAGCGGCTAGAATTTAAAGAGAAAATGAAATCGGCTATCAAATATGGGTCTAATACATGCACTAGTTACGAGTATCGAGCATGCAGGAGCGTTGAGTGATTTCTCTAAATTGCATAAAATCAAAGCTGACTGACAAATTTTTTTTTAAGAATCTCTCCTTATTGTGAGTAATGGAACAAAATTCAAGATATTCATACAGACCACCTATGAAAGATGCAGATGGTCTGTAGTAGGAGAAATTGTATGACTACTAAAATTTGTTTCTTCTTTTACAATGATTGGAATGCAACAACTGTTGAGGAAAAATATGTTTAGTTACAACCCGTTAAATATTTTGCGAGTTAGAGACAAAAAAAAAAAAGAAAAAAAGAGGCATTCTAAAGCAGAATTCCCATTAGCAACAAATGGTCGCTGCTTGAAAATGACGACTTAGAAATTTCTCCTATTGCAAATTGAGAGACGTTCAGTTACACGAATATCTGGCCATTTTTTTGGAGGCTAATGTTGTTTACAGGTTAAAGGAGGTTGACTGTATACTTTTTTGTACTTACTTTATATATTAGACTATTGTTAGTGAGATCATAAACACTGCAGACGTTGTTTTCATCAACAACAGCAAGTTTCTTTCGTTTTGCACTGAGATCTAAGCATCTAACTGAGGAATTGATTTTGAGAACTTCTACAGGTAGAGCATTATCAACAAATATTTTCACAATCTATAAAAACACATTTAAAAAAATTTAAATAAAATTTTTCGAAAATACACCACAAATTATACAATCAAAATTAAAGTAGGATACTAAAAGGCTCGTGAGTTAAAAAAAAATAACTACAACTCCCACAATAAGAGAATAATTTATATCAAATAAATGTTTCTTCATAAAAATAAAGTAAAACTTTTCATGCATTATATCTTCCTTAATATATTCCAAAACATTAGCAATTGTGGTATCAGTTTAATAATTTTTTAACCTCATAAAAACATATGAATAATTTTTTCATAAAGGATACAGTGTTAAATTTTTTTTTATGAGAAGTATAGTTTTAAAAAAATAAATACAGCCAATCTTGCTTAAAGGAATACTATTGGCTCACATTACTAATATCAGCAATTTCTTAATCATTCTAAAATTTTTAAAAATGTCTTAAAAAGTGGTCGCTGTTAAAAATGCTGCAACTAGTCAGTGGCCATCAGCAAAACGCCCTAATTTTGTCCCCGGTACCAGAATTTACAGAGTAAATCTGCAGCCTTATCTTCATAAACCCAAATTTGTCTATGACCTCATATCAGTAAGACATGCACTATTAAAAGTTTAATAATGATTACTCTTACAATTACTGATTACTTTTAGTACAGCTTCAATTAAAACAAATGCTCCTTGTTAATCACTTTTTAAAACCATCAATCACTTTCGATAAACACTTACTGCATTTATCAATAGAAACTTCATTAGTTTCATAAAGTGAAAATAAAGTTTTGAACACTTAAAATAAAGCACTTGTTTTCAAGACAATTGGTTAATCTACATATATTGTTGTTTTAGAAATGGGGCATTTTTCAAGTGCTCAAAACATATAGACTCTTTGAGGCTTTAATTAAGAAGCAAACAAAGCTAAATTGGCAAGTACAATTTTTTCTTGATATTTCAAACTTCGATTTCTCAAAAACCTTGTTAAGTCAAAAAAATATTTTCACCCTTGGCCTTATATATCCTAATGTTAATTTCAATTCCTATGTCAAAGGGTATCTTCTCAAAAATTTGTTACGTCAAATTTTTTTCAAAACAGAAAATGAATTTTTTTGGAAAAATCGCAATGTACATTTAATGTAATTCAATTTTCTTCTATTTCATAATTATTTCATCTTACTTTTAAAGATAAAATTATAATTGCTGCATTTAGACTTATAGTCAACTATCATTACTTTTATATTTATTAGTAGTTATTCTTATGTTTCATTACTCTACTTCTTAGAGAAATATTTTAGAAATTATTTATCTACTTTTTAGAGCATATTTAGTTTTAAACTTGCTATCTCGAAATTTTTTTAGCGTCTCTTCAACTTTGTGATATCGAGAGTATAATGTATACAATTTTGCTCCACATTTTGGTACAATTTATTTCCCACAGAGTATATTTTTGAAAGTATCAAAAGTCTTTGCTTAATTTACAAGCGTTCAGACAGGAACAAAAAAATAACTAATGGTGTTCTTACCTGTCCATTTTTCAGACCAATCAGCAAACACTCACTTCCAGGTGGGCCACCAATCACTTTAATGTATCGAATGAGTGAATTCATAACCCATTCTTTCTCAAGAACACCTTGGAATGACAAACACTGGAGGATCTTTTCCTAAAAATTAATAAAATTATAGATATGATTATACATACCTTTTATCCTTAAACCATTAATACCTCATGTTAACATTTCACAATATTTTTAAAAATATTAATAAGAGGATTTTGAAAAATCAACTGGAAAAATAAAAAAAAAAAAAAATCACATGAAAACTTTTGATTTATTTATAAAAAGATGGAAAATATTTAAAACATTTTGAGACAAAATGGAACTGACAGAAATCTAATATGATTCTATTTACGTGAGGTCCCAAAAAAAAATATTCTCNAAAAAAAAAAAAAAAAAAAAAAAAAAAAAAAAAAAAAAAAAAAAAAAATTGCTGAATCAAAGTGATTTATTTAATAAGTATATAAAAAACTTAATTTCTTTCTTGCAGACATTAAAAAAACTACTTTTTTAATTTTACTGAAATTAAAAAAAAAAGTTTACATTATATACCAACCATACAAAATGTACTGCCTTTGATAAAAGTATTTAAAATTGACTTATATCAGTTTTATAATAAAAAAAAAAAATGAGCATATGGTTCATTTTTAGAATGGTTCTCAAAGATGAACCATGGACATTAATGGGCTTAGATAAATTGTTAAAATTTTGATCAAAAAGAAAATCAATAGAACTTTATTATAAAGGCTACAAATGACTACTACTCAAATAAGCATTCAAAATTATGTGAAGTTCCAAATAAAGATATTCTTTCAAACAAATTTACAAAAAATATTTGCTGAATGCAAATGATTTATTTAATAAGCAATTGATTTAAAGCTTATACATACACCAAAAACAAATTCATAACTAGACTAGATACAGCACAAGAACTGAAAATCTGACTGTTGGATATAAAACCTAATTTTAGATTATTAAAGATAAAATGAGGAAAAATCTTCATTCCTCTAATTAAATATTTTAAAAATAGTCTTTTATAGGTCACAACGTTCACAATTATTTTAATAAATACATTTATAAAGTTGGGGTTTCGCCAAAACAATGATTATTTAGGGTTCAGTAGCTGATAAAATTGGGGACTGCTGGCCTAAAGGTATGATTATAGAACTGTAGCAAAGCAAAAATGTTAAAAAATTAAAAATGGGAAATTTTTTTCTTTATTTGTAAATTATTATTAAAACTAAAACTTTTATTATTAGGAAGCATTGCAAATTTTTTGTTTTGTTAAATGAGCAGTGATCCAAGAAAGAAAAAATTGGGAACTCTAATTATTTGATTTTCTCACCATTTAATCTGTTTGCCTTTTTGAACAAACCAATAATAAAGATATGTGCAGAACAGGAAATCAAACACAAAATTTGGGAACTTATCCTCTAATTGTTTGATCTTCTCACCATTTAATCTGTTTTTATTCTTGAGCAAGCCAATAAGAAAGCTATGCACAGGGCACGGAATCAAACAGAAAATTTAGGAACCCATACTCAAATTATTTGATATTGTAACCCTTTAATCTGTTTGCCTTTTTGAGCAAACAAATAAGAAAGATATGCACAGAACAGGAAATCAAACAAAAAGTTAGGGAACCTATGCTCTAATTGTTTGATTTTCTAACCATTTTATCTATTTGCCTTCTTGAGCAAACCAATAAGAAAGATATGCGCAGAATACAAAATCATACAGAAAATTTGGGAAAATATGCTCTTATTACTTGAGTTTCTCAGCATTTAATCTGTTTGTCTTCTTGAGCAAACCAATAAGCAAAACACAAAAACAGAACACGGAAATAAAATTGATTTAAAGATCAGATTTTCATGCATTAAAATTCAATTATGATGGCTTTTGGGATAGACATTAAATATGCTAATAAATTAGTGAGATTTTAAGTCATGGAATTAAACACAAAAATATATGTTTTCTGAAATATATCCTGTTTTAATAACTTGTTTTTTTACCATAAAATTATGAAGGTAGTTTTAGAAATATCATGAAATTTGTAAAATTAACATAAAGAGGTCCTTCTAGCCTTTCAGCTTTAGAATAAGCTATTAGGTACAATATTTTTAGATTATAACTTCCTATATTTTAAGGTTCAAAAATTAGAATATGATGAAATATATTTATTGAAAAAAAAAAGCAAATTTTTGTGTCTTTTGAATTCTTAACTTAAAAGATGGTCTACTCTTCAAGTCAAATAGTATATTAGTGCATGAATGAAAATAAATAAATGGATAGAAAAATAATTTATGGTGTTCCACTTTTATTTAGTGCACTGTACATGGCTAGAATCTACATATTCTTGCTCAAATCCACAATGCTATAAGGATTAAAATCCAATTTTAACGAAATATTAAAAAAAATTTCTTATAAATTTTGCAGAACAATTAATGTTACAGGACTACAATTTACCGATTTTAAAAAATGGCAATAATTTTTTATAAAATACTTTTTCATTAAAATATGTTCTAAAAACTTTTCAAAATAAACGGAATTTTTTGATCAACTTTTTTATTTAACAGGCTGCAGTATGTTGACTGGATAGTACTCTATCCAATCAAATCACAACTATGAAATCTCTTTAAATTGAGGGTTGCATTAAATGAACAACTTACTTCGCACAGCACAATATGTTTTGCACAAACCACTAATAAAGTGCATTCCACTTTTATATTAATTTTTTCTTTAACTTTATAGTGCATATCATTGCTTTCGGAAACTTCATAAATGTTTATTCGTTCAGGCATTTGAATCTGCAAAAATATAAGAAATAATTAAAATCGTTGAATTTTTTCCCCCTAAAAATTGATAGAAAAACTTTCCAAAATAAAATTTTTTCTTACAGCTAGACGTCTTTTATAAATGGCCAACTTTTTCACAAGTTCTCGACACTTGACAACAACTGCATTTGGGGAAGAATTTCATGCATTAGTTAACAATAAAACTTATGCAACAAGAAAAAAAAAAAAACTACACAATTAATAATAAAATTCCTCAAATAAAAATATTAGGTAGAGAATCATGAATAACATCACCCATTTAAAGAAATCAGTTTTTGTAAATTTTAAGCAAAATTAGCAAAACATAATTCATGTCTCAAACAGTAAGGCTTCAGAAAACACAAATTTGATTGGATTTTGATGTTAAGGTGCAGATTGTTCCCAACACAAAAATTGAATAATTTTATCACTTTCAAAGAATTAACTCTATTACCAAAATAATAATTTAATAATGCATTAATTGATTTAAAAAATAATTTGATTTGTATCCTCATTAAATGAATAGGGTAAATCATTAGCATAGGCATTAATCATTAAGATCCACATAACAGATAATGATCATAAATAATAGAGTTATTATTAACAAATATGATTTACATAAACCTTTGTCATCAGTAATTAGGTGCTGGACAACAACATCGGTCATGTTTTCTCTGTATGCATATCTATCTTCATATAACCCATGTACTGTTGAAAAGCCAATTTCATAATATGCTGCAATACCATCTTGACTGCCAATAGCCTATAAATAAATTTTAAAATAAACACATTTTTTTAAAAACAATTATTAGACGGAATTTACATACTCAAAGTAGAAAAATCAAAAACATATTTAATTACAAAATGTTTACTTAAATAACTAAAAATTTGTATTTTTCAAGTTAATTAAATAAACATACTTGTTGCATTAAAAAATAAATTTTTCGATTACATTTAACCTAACAATATGTACTTTATATGACTCAAAATTCAGTCAAGAATAAAATTTATTTTTTAAAATAAAACATTAAAAAAGAAAAAAGTTTTTTTATTAAATAAAAAAAAAAGTAATGGAGGAAATATTATTTATACATTCGAAATCTAAATATTTGAAACAGAAAATAGACACATGGTTAATTTTTAGAGGCATATATAATTTTAAAGTGTTTGTCAGAATAACTTATAAAATATTAAATTTACCGATTAAGGATAGAAAAATGAATACTGATCTCACCACATAATTCGTGTCTTCTTTGGTGGCACAGCACCATATCCAAGACTTCTGTTCAGATATGACACCACAAAAAACGCCTTCTTTAGTGTAGAGGGAACACTTTTTATTGGTTCCACAAATCAGTAAGTATTCGCCATTGGAAAAAAAAGATATCCTGAGAGGATCAAATCCCAGTGCTCTCTCACGACCCACCTGCAATAACAATCTTTTAGAGCTCATAGGAAAACAATGATATATCATATTCTATAAATTTAAAGTAAATAAATATAATAAAAAACAAAAGAACATTAAAATATCAATATTTTTTTTAAAAAATAAAAAAATAATAACGATAGGAAAATACATAATTCAAGTTTTAAAAACACGATTATGTACCATTGAAAAGGCAGTCAGATTGGAAACTATTCAGTTTCCATAAAAAATATTTTTATGAAAATATACATATATTGAAATGCTATAAATAAAAATTAATAACAGAGTGCGTAGCCAAATCTTTGAATAAAAAATAAGCACTTTTTAAAAACTTTTCAAGCACTTTACAAAAATTTTCAATCACTCAAAAAATTCATATTCAATCAATGATATTATTGAAAAACAAAAACTTTTTATGAACAGTTTTAGCGTTAAAAAAACCCAAAAAGAAATGGGCGTAAATCGAAACAATCAGTACTTTCCCACATCACCGAGTGAATTCAACTTGACCCTGAACTCAGAACAAAAGTACCCTTACCCCCTACGTCAAAAAAGAGTTAGAAGTAAAATAAAATAAACAAGAATAAAATTAAATTAAAATGAAAAACATTTCATAAGGATCTGATATTCTCTATCCGAATTGGAGCACTCGGGTTTCGGTTTTAAGTGTGCGCGCATGCGCAAGTCATAACGTGGGTACGACATGAAGTCCGCGTGAATGATTACGTAGCAAACACCCCATTTTTCGTGAAATGTATGGGATCCACCAGATATCACTGAAGAAAAAAAAAATATTTGTGGGAAGAAAAGCACTTTTTAAAAACACCAGCTGAAAAAAGCACCTTTAAAAGCTTTTAAAAATGAAATCCCCAAAAAAGCACCTTTAAGTACTTTTTACAAACGCTACGCACCCTGAATAAGTAATAATAAAATCAATTATCTACATAGCCATGGCATTAATAAAGTTTTCATAACATGACTATTTAAATTAAAACAGAAACTATACATCAATATTTACTAATTTAAAAACAATCTAAACACCAGAAGCACAGTCTTTGATGCTATTAAGAAGTCAACACCAAAATAACAAATAAAAATAAGAGTATCAGGAAAAATTTTATTAGTATTTTCTAACCTTTATATATATATATATACACATACATACATACATACACTTTTATGAAGATTTTAAAAACATAGATTTAAGACAGTAATTCTGTAACATACTAAACATATCAATAGCTTAGTTCTATGAAAAGAAAAATCGTTGAAAAGTTCGCTGAAAAGAAAAGTCTGTCACCAACCCATACTTTCTTTGAATAAACATATCCATTTTTAAAATTAAATCTCCTCTTTGATTCTTAAATTCCAAAATATGATGTTAGCGAGAATTTGTAAAATACAATTCAAATAGTTGAATCAATATAATAATAATTAAAAAAAATTGGCCTCCTTAATTTTATTTTCACTTTTCCTAATGTCTTTGAAAATGATTGCATGAATTAAAAAATTTTTTGCAAAATTACAATAACTCATTTACTACAAGAAAGTGTTTTGAAAAAAATATTATTTATTATTTCTTCTACATAACTTTTACTATTTATAACTATTAAAAATTTATTATTATTTATAATTTATTATTATTTATAATCTAATATTAATAATAATATTTCTTATCTCATTTAATAATAAAAACAAAACATGATTATAGAATTTTTTCCCCGTCCAGGTTCCATTTGTATTGGTACTGACTACATACTGTATTGGTTCCATTTGTATTGGTACTGACTACTTTCATATATGCTTTCAACTACAATTGCACAAAATTTAAATTAAAAACCAGCATGTTTTTCTTATTTAGCATCAAAATTACATTTAGAGACTAGATTTTGATTATTTAAAAACCTCAAAAAATCTCAGTAAAAATTTCAAAAATTATGCTTGAAATTTAACAAAATTTTTAACATGAAATATTATTTCTTCCCTAAACTTACATACAATTGTATTAAAATAAAAGTATTAAGAGAAATTCAGAAACAATTTTTAAAAAGCTTTAAATAAATGTTAAATGCTAAAACAACAAAAGACTAAAGAAAAGGAAAACATAATGTAGAAATACTGATTATAATATTAAAAAAATATAAAAGATTTTCTTAGAAAGGCAGCCCAAAAATTCTAAAAAAAATTGCAAATGTTATCAATATCCCAGCCTTTAATAACCATATATTTCCAAAATAATCATTATATTATTACCTTTTACCTATTAACAATAAACATAATATTATTACCAAAATAATAATCATTGATCTTAAATAACATAGTTCATTTTTGGAAATTAAAAACTTTAAAATTAAAAGACATTAAGCATGAAGAAATTTCCAAATGATCTAGAAAGGGAAGAACTAAAACAGTTACTCAAAGTGTTATACAAATAATAACACTATATTAATCCAATATACTTGACTTAATCTATCTTCATAGTAGGTAACATATTGGAACATAGACTCTTCAAGATATTGGAGTTGCTTTTTTAAAAAAATTTGATAAATATCAAGTGAATGTGAATAAACATGAAATCAGATTACTTGTTTTCCAGCTGTATTGTAAAACGATAAAGACGGACTCCAGTCTACAACAGCCAGCAATTCATCGCCATTGTTATCCCTTCAAAAAATATTGAAACAAATTGTATGAATTATCAAATATCACACTAAAAACACTCATTATGTACTTATGCTTACATACTTAGTATGCAACATTATTTATTACAATATAGGAAATATTATTTCACATTACAGCTAAGTTTTGATCATTTTTCTATAATGACTAAATTTATTTCTATATAAAAAAAATAATAAATTTATTAATGCTTTTAAAAAAATTGTTGTTATTCTGGCTATTTTTTTGGCTGAATATTTGAAATCCAGCTATACGGCCAAATTACTATTCGTTACTTCTTTAGTTACTACATATTAATTCAAATGTCTAGTTTCTAGCCTTTAAAAGCATTCTGCAATTTTTTTCAATTTAAAACTAAATAATAAAAACAAATTTAAAATAACAAATAATTCAATTTTGAATGACTCGAACTATTCACAGGGATGAGATTAGCCAAAAGGCAAAAAAGCTGAATTTCCACGATAGTACATTTTACACAAGCGCAACCTTTTAATAATAAATTCCAGACAGTTTAAGGTAATAAATAATGTGTTGACATACAATTGTGTACTAATCTATTATTATATAAATGATTACTTTGGTACTTAACATTTAGTGAAAATAAAAATTACCAATTGAATACCCTTTTTAAGTGATTGCTTTTGTTTGCTATATCTTTTATGTTTGCTATATTTAGTCGTTAGTCCATCTTCAAACATCTTGTGACAAATCCTATTTTTTCTTCTTTGCAAGCACAGAATGTAAGTTTTGAATATATTCCCTTCCAGTTTCTCTGATGTTGTAACACTTACATATACTAATAATCGTCGTTAGAAAAACAGTCACCTTTATAGTAACTAATTTTAAATAAAAATAATTTACTTCTTACAAGAATGGATTTTGAAATCACATGAATATGAAACTATGTAGATATACGATTTTGAAAATGAGAAAATACAAACTGGGATATAGAATTTTTAAAATGCGTAAATACAAATCACGATTCATAATTTTTAGATCGCGTAAATACGAATCATGATGCATATTTTTTAGATTGCATAAATAAGAATTATGAATTTTTAGAATGCGTGAATGCGAACCCGAATGCCTTATTTTAAAATCACGTACGTATAAATACGAAAATCAATGTTTGATATTATAAACCCCATGAGCAAATCAAGACATTGAATTTTAAACTTGCGTGAATACGAATCGCTACATAGGTTTTTAAAAAGGCGTAAATACGAATCACAATATCGGAGTATTAAATCTCGTAAATAAGAATTGCAACGTATAATATTCAAATTGCGTGAATAAGAATCGCAACACGCAAATATGAAAACCTATGTTTGATATTATCGTGTGAATAAGATCGAGATATTAGCAGATTCCAGGCTTGGGACCTCTAAATGGCTTGTCAGAAACAGCGTCGTTTGAACTACAAAAATCGGATCTATCTGGAGGGCGGGTAAAAAATTCGGAAAATCTTATCTGCTGCGAGTAAAAGGGGAGAAAATAGCTAAAATAAGTAAAAATGAGAAAGGATTGGTAGCTATGTAGTTTGAATTTTTTGTTTCTCTTTGAAAATCGGTGAATTTTCTGAAAAAGCGGAATACTTATTAAAAAAAGTGAAATTTTTAGAAAAATCTGAATTTTTGATTAAAAAAAAAGCTGAAATTGAAGAGATAAAAGTGAAAAAAGCGGAAATCCGCTAAAAAGCGGAAAAATCTCATCCCTGTATTCATTAATAGATCACTTAATATAAAACTAAGGTAGATAAAAAACACATAACTCAAAATTTTTTTGTGATAAATATGAAGAAAAAAATTAAATCTCAAAATATTCACACTTACTTAACAGGACACCAACTCACACCCCAAACTTGCGATGCTGAGCCACCAGGTCGCTCAATTTTCACCTTCTCATCTCCATTCTGAAAATTAAAAAAATTTAAGTACTTTTATGAAGAATGTCACTTGAAACATGCAGTATAAATTCATAGTTAACTATTGATAAGGATTGGGCATTTTCAGGTTAAATATTTTTAGGTACATAGTTTTAAGGTATTAAGACACCTTTTCAGGTATTAAAGCAATAAAAAAAATTTATCTGTAGAAAATTATGGAGGAGCCCTTTTAGCAGTGGCACATATTTTATTTATACTAGTAAATAAAATTAACTATATAACTAAAAGCCAGATGTATTTTTCTAATTTAATAAGTAGTAATAACTCTTTATTAAAAATATTTTGAGCATTTTACTTAGCATGAAGTTAAACTAAAATAAACATAGTTATGAAACTATGTACAAAAGTTACATTTTCTGTAAATGTTTTTTTATTTTTTCATTTTGGTTATTATGCTAATTTTTTAACAAACTAACTTTTTTTATAAAAAATTGTCATTTGATAGAAATTGGTTTTTAACATATTGGTTTTTTTATTTATTAAAATATAGAAAAAATTATCTTTCTAACAAAATTTGAAATCAATTACTTACTTTAAAAAAATGAAATGGTACTTAAAATAAAAAATTTAAAAAAAATATTTGAGTTCACTTTTGTTTACGCTTTTGCAATAGTGAAAAGAAAAAACTTTTTCATATAAAAATAATTTGATAAGAAAGGGTTAAATGATACATTAATTTATATTTCAAATAATTTGAACTTTATTAAACATGACATTGTACATATAGATTTGTTAGGAGTTCTACATATACCCTAACTATCAAGATTACATTCTCAGTAAAAAAATTTATTTAGTATCACATAACATACAATCATTTGCTTTAACTCTTTAAGAATCACACAGTTAAAAACATAATGAGTCACTGATATTATAGCCTAAAAATTTATTAAAATTATTATTGTTTAATTTGTTATTATTTTAATGTTAAACAAAATGAAAAATACCTAATTAAATGGGTGTTTAGGTGGAGAAACTTTGACTACATAACAAAAATAATAAGTTGTAACAAGTGATTTAATATATGACTAAATTATGAGAACTAAAAATAATTAAATCTTGCATGTATTTATGGTGATTTTGGAGACCTCTTCCAGTCAGTAAAATTAACTTATCGTTATTACTTAGTAATTATTGCAAACGTATCCTCATCATGCTTAAACAAGACTAGTTTCACTGCATTATTTTACTTCCCAAATTAACCCTGCATCTTACAAAGGATTTTTCACCATAAATAATAGGCCTTTCAAATAGGTAGTTTTTGACAATTTTGGACTCTCCCTCATCTTTTTAACAAAATGGTAGGTTTCAAAATTCCCCTTTCATGCTTACAATGGTAATGACTCTGTTATTTTTCACTTTAACTTTTTACTGTAAATGTTCTAATTTCCAGACTTGTTGAATTAATGACAAATAAAAGATGTACCTTTGCAGAAAACAAAATTTACAAGTTCAACTTTTTTTTTCCTTGGAGCTCTCAGCTTTTCCTACCCCAATATTTAACTTTTATTTAAATTTTTCCATGAGTAATTTTTTACCAGATTTTTTTGCTATTTTTTGCATTTTAAAGGAATTTCGAAAACAAAGGAAATTTATTGTCTCACATAAGCAATGCAATCATCTTCAAAGAAAATAATAGCAAAAATAAGCACACCTCCTTTAGGTGTTTACATAATATTTGAACAGCCCCTAAATGGAAATTACTGTCTTAAGTAAGCATTCCTCACATTTACAAAAAATTAAGCAAATTACCTTTTAGGTGTTTACTTAGTGTATTTAAACCAGAGAAAACTCTCACCCGTCCTCTCAGTGATATGACACCTGATGTAAGTCCCAAAGCTAAAAGCAATCCATCAGACGTCCAACTGCAACTAGTAATGCGAGCATTGATCCTATGCTTTGAAACACTTTTCTGTTCAGGAGACCAGAGCCCTGTTGATTACAGATAATTAGATAACAAATGGCTAAAGTTAACACAGTATTAAGAAAACAGTTCAAAGAATAATAAAAAATTTCATTAATTTACAGAGCTGTGGGCTCAATATGCATACCTTGACAGTCAACAATATGCATAATCTACATACAGTTTTAGTAGCACAGAGCCCTCTATTAACGAAAGTTAGGAAAATTGTTTCAACAGAATTTTGGCCCCACATCTAATTAACATAGATTTGAAGTTTAATTCAAATCTGTTAAGTGAAACCCGAGTACTATGGGTTTCATTTTAAAACCCTGCATTTAGCTATAACTTGACTTTCCATTTTCCGGTGCTTTTTTTCTCCTGATCAAACTCATTTGGGTACTTGCACTTCAAGAAAAAGAAGATCTCCCATATCCCACAAGTGACATCTGACATCAGAGCTAACTAATCTTTATCTGCAAAATGACGTATTAAAAGTTGAGTTAAATTTCTCTAATATAAGTTAGAATGTTAATGATAAGTTGATTAAATATAAAGTCGTACTGTACATCAAATTAGTTGAAATATAATTCTTTCTTGTCTACTTCTTTTACTTAAATTAGATTTATTATTTGTTTATATATTTTTTTGCAACCGTGATATAATTTTGTTTTTTGTACCTAACAACTACAATGCATCTGATAAAGTGATGCCGTCCATCTGATAAAGTGATGCCGTTATTTTTCACATTTGTTTAAAGGTTATTGAACAATAATACTCTATCATCAAAACTTAGATAAAAACAGAAGAAAAAAAAATTAAGTAAAGAAAAAGTTCTATTACTCCATATTTCCAAATCTAAGACCATCTATGCACTGGCCGAGAGTATGCTTTTTCTTTGAACATTCATCCAAAACTCAAAACCCATAAATAAGCAGGTGTAAAAAAAAAAGAGGTGTGATCTTTATGGGTAACTTATGACTTCCCTTTTAGAATACCCAAATATCTTAATTTATTTGTTTACATCAGTAGTTTCAACTACAGAGTACAAGGAAATGCTTACTTTGAAACATATTTGATTAACCCAGCTCAGCAAATTCAAGGACAATACATTTCTGGTAACTTCATTATTTACTAATTGGTAATAAACCTCATAATTTATACTCATATCTTAAAGATATCAGATTGAGATGAATGCATGGATAGAAACAACGATAGAAACATGAAAACAGGCAGCATTTTCAGAAAAACATAAAACATGTGGGTTGTGAGGAAAATATCTGACTTCATGATGCCCTTAAATCTAGTTGATGGAATCTAGTGTCTGACTTAAAAAAAATAGAATTTATAGAACAATAAAGTCCTGTATTTCTTTCCATAAGTGAGAAAATCTTTTTTTTTTTTTTGCCAATTTGTTCTTTACAGCAAAAAGTAAAGGGAAGAAATCAGGTTTTTAATTCATTCTTTTTCCTTTCCTCATGGTGAAACTGATATTATCCCCAACTTTGTTGATTACTATGCTTCAGCTTAATTCAACTTGTTTTATCATGATATTTTTTAGATCATTTACGCTAATAATTTTTCTCGAAAGCTTGTTTAATTTTATTTAATTTATTTGATAAAATACTTTAATAGAAAAGCAAAAATATGTTTTGTCTTAGCAATTTAGATAAGTCTTTTTGCATTTAGCGAAAAATGCTACTGTAGCAGTAATCCTGATTAACTCTCATAAGTGCTTTTTTTTTTCTTTATCTGAAATTTAGAATTTCTTTTTTTTTTCAGATGCACCCCTAGAAATCAGTAAAAAAAAATTTTTTTTAAATAACTTGGAAAAATAATAATGCACAAAACTAGTTAAAATGTAAAAAACAAACCGAAATCAGTACAGGCACAGCTAGCTAATTGATCAGATACAGGATTGTAAGAAAGACTTTGGACAGCATCATGGTGACTAAAAAAGAAATAAACATGTTCAGTTTGTATAGAAATTTACATTTCATTGTTGAGTTAGAAGAAGGGGAAGAAAGTGGGATGAAATCACAAAAATAAGAAAATTTAATAAGACCTTATGTGTAAAAGTGATATCCCTCTTTTAAAAGTGTAATCATATATTTAATATTCCAGAAATCTATTCCAAGAGGAGTTGGAATCTCTGTCAAGAGATAAGATATATTACATAAAAAGTTCTATCTATATCTGCTTTTATCTGTAAAAAATGTGTGTTATCACTTTTAACTCCAAAGCTCTTCAATTTTAAATTTCTTTTTCCTTACGAATATCTTAAAATTCCCTCCAGTTTAGATGTCCAAATTATGACTTGTTTGTCAGCACCACCCGAAGCAAAGCGTTGTCCATCTTTTGAGAAACAGACGCTGTACACAACATCTGAGTGACCTTTTAAGGACTGCAAAAGTTTTCCATCTGTATCATATGCCAATAACTTAGTTCCAGTAGCAATGATTAACATTGATGCATCCGGTTTAAGTGCAATATCATACACGCTAAAAGAAAGAAGAAATTCATCACATGACTTTTTTTCAAAAAAACTATCAGTACAGTCAGTTGGAGATAACTCGAGCCCAATAGAATCTTTGAAAATTTTAAAGTTAACACACTGCCCTCCCCCATGTGATAAGAAATGAATTGTTGAATAATGGGAATGAAATATTGTGATAAGAAATAAAAGGTCAATGTTTCATAAATTCTTTCCTCCTTTTTAAATTAATTTGAGTGTCTAGGACTGGCTGACTTATATTACTATATTTTATAAACGCCTTTGAATAGCCAACCCAATTTTGGATTTATGACTACCAATGTACAATTCGGTAATTTTGAATACAGAAGACAAAGGAAGTCTTGGATCAAGTATTGGAAAAAAATTTGCTTTCGTGTTGGACTTTTTGATAAAATTAACCCGCATCGGATTTACATGCAGAAGAAAATTACGAAAACCTCCCACAATTAGCCTGACAGCAAGGGGACTCTAACCCATGATCCATCTACAACTGAGGATATTTTTACCTTAGCATTGTGGTTAGCGCAAGCCGGTTGCAGAATTCTAAAGATTCAAGTCACCTTGTTGGAAGGTAAGCACTCCCTCCCCAAAGCCACGACGGCTCTACGCTGTTATATAGTGAAATATTGATTTAAAGGACACTTCGTCACTCCAATACATCGGCTATTGCTTTCTCGCAATGCATCAGAGCTCTGATTTAAGTCACCGATGTAAGAAAATACTCATGATTTAACAGTATGGTGATTTAGCTCATTAAGATTTTTGTCTACGAATGCTGTTACCATGCCGACTAAGAGGATTTTAATTTTGTCTAGTTAGGAATGTATTGTGATGTTGAATGGCGAAGAGCAAATTGAATCAGAAGTCATGGTTTCATGCAGGCCTGGATTACGGATTAGGCCATGGCCTGGGGCCCTCTTAAAATGATTTTTTGAAAATAAACAATGATTTTTGATTTTTTGATTTTGATTTTTTGAAAATAAACAATGAAGAAAAACAATGATTTTTCAAAATGTTATGATTATTTTTAGTTCTAAGCTAATAAAATAAAGTAAAATTTAATTTATTGATTTTAAATATGCTTTCTTAAATGAAAAGATATATAAATACTTTTATATTTGAATAAATAAAAAATATACCAGAAATTTTTTTTATCTAAGCGCCCCAAAAATTTGAATGGCCTAGGGCCATTTAATCCGGCCCTGGTTTCATGCATGGATCAGCATCAGAATATAGAACACAATGTATTGCTTCTTATTACCTTTTTTTTTCTTCTTCAAGAATTTAGGTTTCTTAAAGAATATTTTCAGTGAGACTTCTTAAACTTTGCGTTAGCTGTGTATTATTACGTCGATATTAAACAACATTTGAACATATGTTACATAGTAATACATCTCTGTATCACAATATCTATCAGTTTATATTTCAGGGGGGGGGGGAATTTCTTACATCGCCCAGTCCTATGTTTGTCAATAAGTTTTCTACATCCTTCATTCAAAAATTGGTAAAACACATCCTAAAATATTTATTTACAATTTTCTCAAAGATTTAAGGTATTGCAAACGTAACAGAAAAAAAAAGTCGTATATTTTGTTCGTTATCATAACAAAAATAAGTGCAAGGGAGATTTGATAAGTTTCTAATTAAAAAAAGAAACACCGGTTAATTACACCGGTGATTGATTATTTTTACTCCAATCTGAAAACGAAATACAAGCCTTAAGTTTTCATAAAAGCAGAAAAGTTAAATCAATGATATCTTAGCAGGAGAGTTTTATGGCTCTATCGATTATTGTTAGTTTATTCGACAAATCTGTAATATCAGTTCTATTTAGTTTTATCTAATTTAATTTGACAAAATTCAATTGAATAAAACGGAATCGCACATAAAGCAGAATTATATCTTTTCTATTCACTGTTAAAGTGTCGACTTCATGAAATAGGTACTAAGACATTCATGATAAAATACCATTCCGGATGTCCTTCCTTATCTAGAAGATCAGATTCCCAAAGTAAAGCAGAGCGCATTTTTATTTTTCATAAGAGACGAATATACCAAAATTTATTAAGGTAATATCATATATTCAGCTATAAATAAAAATGGTAAGCATTCTCCACCATTGTCATTTAATGTTTGTAAACAATTTTAAAAATTAAGTAGGTAAAACGAACTTTGAATAAAAATTAGTTTTTGCTTTAAGCTTTGTGCGTAGATACATTTTTTTTCTCTGTGAAACTTAATCATTTGTAAAAAGTTACCAGCTCGGGTGAGTGAATGAAATAAATTAGAAAAACTATTTATTTATCTTAAAAATTTTTAGGGGCATTGATGACTCAAATTTAAAATATTCCGCAAAACTTATTTATGTTCATGAGAATTTCTCCAAACGAAGAGATCTGAATTAAGTGTTCGGAGGAGGCATGCATGTAAACAAAATTACGTCGTCTGTCGGCAAATTTTGATAAGTTATTCCTCATCTCATTAAAGTTGCTTTGAGCTGGATATGACGTGTATTCGCAGATGATATTAGCGTGTATCTGAAACTAGAAATTGCTTCAAGATGGTTATAGCTCGTAATAAGAAGAGGAAAGATCGTGGAAAGGACCGTCGATTTTTAAATGGTAAAATGAATAAACGTATGACATCGATTACAAACAAAGTTTCTGTCGGTGCCGTCGTCACAATCGCTGTCATTGTTTTAGCTTATATATACAACAGATATAAATTGGAAAATAATTCTCAAGTGTTGGAGAAAACACTCACATCATTACTTCGTGAAGAAAGCTCAGTTGCCGTTAATCCTAACATCAAAGTTGCCCTAGGATTCGGTTCTTGTCAGGATATCATCGTTCAAAGTAATGAAGTTATATTCGACAGCGCTCCAGACAATCCTGAACACTATTATTCTATTTCCACAAAAGAACAATTTTTAAAAGTCTTTGCGTACTTTTATCGTTTTGGTGCAGCAGCAGAGTAAGAATAATTGTTATATTACTGTATTGTTATAATTGTTTATATTATATAATTTCTCTTATAACATGCTATTTCTATATTGAAAAATTATTTTGCAGTGTATAATGGGGGCCCTTGGATTGGATACTCTGCCCTGAATCTCTTACAGAATCTATATAATCATCCATTTTTGTATTACTTACATCGCGATTTCTTATTGCTAATCTCACTTTTAAGTCAATTAACCTGATTTCTGAGAGAACCTGATAAAATTACCAAAAATTAGAGAGACATCTGATTGTGGGTTTATTTAAAAAGAAAATAATTAATTACCTACAGAAGAAGGTTCTTATAATGCAAAGCTTGAAAGATCAGACTTTGCATTTTATGGAAATACGTGTTTTATAGATCATTTCACTTTTCTTAAACTTTCCTACTAAGTATGTCAATATATGTCTGGAATAGATCGGTTTTTAAAATGCTTTAAAGTTATTTTTAGATACAAATACTTAAAAATTTAAAATATGCACTTAAATTTTTATTATTTACAGAAAAAAATTTCTACCGCATTAAAACTTAGTGTAAAACAAATAAATCAATTTCGGTTTGTTTAGCTTTTGAAATTTTAATTTCTTTACAAATAATTAAACAAATAATATTAAAAGTTTATAGTTCTTGCTTAGTTCTTAAAATTTCTATCTTTGTTCTATCTTAAAGTTTCTTAAATGCAAATTTTATTATTTACATCTCTTAAAGTTAGTGAGGTTTAAGAAAAATTCAGTTTATGAAATTGTATTTTGTAGATCTTCTTATTGTATTAAACTATATAAACTTTTACTGTATAAAACTTATTTATTAAACTAAAATCACAGATTTGAGATTCTTCCTCTTATCTGTGATTTTTCACCTAATCGATTTTTTTATATCATTTTTTGTTACATTTTTGAAGATCCTAATAAATAAGATGTTTTAATCTTACACCAACTAATATGTCTAAAAACTAATTAAAAAAACACATTAAATTCATGCATAATAAAGTTCAAGGGAACATTTCTGTATTAGATGTCAATCACGTTACAGCAACTGTCTGGTACTTCTACTTATATTTGCCGTAATTTAAAACTGAAGGTATAGTGACTTGCCTGGAAGTGGCTCAGAATATAATCCTTTAAATTTGCCCTATTCTGTATCGATTTATTTAATTTCTTGTTTGCCATTAATCTGTTTTTGTCATAGCTGTGGAGTATGTAGGGAAATGAAAAATCTGACCAATGGAATTTAAGACTTAAAAACTCCCTCATATATAAAAAAGAACATATATTCATGTGTTACAGCATATTTGTTCTTTTTTTTTTTTTAATGTAAAAAAAACAATAGATGCTACAGGAAAAAAAATTGATGACATTACAGATTATACTTATTTTGGCATTTATTTTGAAATGGATAAAACTGGCATTAATAATTTCTGAAAAAAATCATTTAGATTCAGCTAGATCTTTGATAGAGGATTGTGGATTCAATTTGATTTTACTTCAAAGCTGAGAATAGTTTTTCTACACTAACTTGAAGAGGAAAAAAAAAAAAAAACTGTTACTGTTAGTTAGGGCTACTTCTTTTATAGGATAGATTTGTTTGTTCAATTTCTAAAAAAGGTTTCTTTGCAAGCGCGATCATATTTCGTCAAGGTTGTGTAGAAATCTTGTTTGTATTTTTTCGTTTTTATATCTAAAAGCTCTTGGTTTTTTTTTTATTTGCTTTGTCTAAGCCTCTTTGGTATTATCCACATATTTCTGAAAATCTAATTTATCATTGGAAGAGGATGATGGACTGTGAGTTTATAATTACACTAAGGAACAAATTTGAAAGCAGGATGCAGAATCTAATTTTTTTTTAAAAAAAATTGTAACAAACTGCAAAATTACTGTAAATAAATTAAATTACAAACTCAGTGACTTAATAAAATCAGAAAAATTGTATAGATCAAAATTTTTAGAAAAAACTTTCATCTGACTATGATCCAACTTTATCTGACACTGGGGAACAAATTTTTGGTTGCATTTTTTTAAATACTTGCTATTGCCAATTCGGTTATGAGAATTTCAAATCTGAAATTAGTTTTGCTCTTGAAGCTACTGATTTTTTTAGTGGCATTTTTAGTGTATTTTTGTCAAAATGTACAAGTTTAAAAACGTTATATATAATAGGGGTCGCCTAAATGTTGCAACAAACTTCTAGTGAATTTAGGGCAGATCACTTGGGTTAAAATTGCATAAAAACCCATGTGCGTAAATTTTGTCATACACGGCTGGAGACGCTTCTGTATTATGATCTGTTCAGAAGTACACAAAGAGACTGTACATATTAAGGAAGTAGTGTATGACAACATTCCCGGGCGTGGGTTGCTATTCAGTTTCAATCCTGATGATGTGCTTTAACTCCTCTAGAAGTTTCTTGCAACATTTATGTTTCCTCCTCTTATATGTAACATTTTAAAACTATTATGAAATAGACAAAAAAAAAGTGCCATCAAAATAAAAAACTGTAGCTTAGAAAGAAAAACCAATTGCAGATTTCAAATCAGCAATATAAAAATATCTAAGATAGGTTGAAAAATCTCATGCAACTGAAAACAAAGATTTGTTCCCCAGTATTATTGAGCATTTTGCCATTGGTTCAACCATAAAGGTTGAATCAATGGCTATCAATCGTCGTTAGTATTGCAATGTAATTTTTATATGTATTATTGTTTTCTTTAATTTCTTTTATTTTAATTATAATTCCTGGATTAAAAATGTTTTCTTATTTTTAGGAGATTTATATCCAACTCTTCTTTTTTTGCTGAATTAGTAAAGTTTGCTAGAGAGGCTCCAAGCGCCAGGTATTTCATTGGAGGAAATGCTCCTGTGATGGCTAAAAGATTTTCAAAGGAAGGCTGGAAAAATATTTTATTAGGTGCCCAAGTCTCACAGTCCTTGCAGAAAGAATTTCCTCCTGGAATTCAGATTTCAGGACCAATAGTTGAAGAAGATGACATCCATTTGTTGCTGGAGTATCCATCTGGACAAAAATGGGGTTCATTTGTCCCCCCTAGAGCTAATCGGTTAGTAAAACATTTTATTTGCATCCCTTTTATGAATGTTTTGGCATTAAATTATGAATTACACTTTAAATTATGAATGCACTGAACATTAACTGTTTGGTCCCATATCTAGAATTTTATGTGGTTTAAGGAACCTATTGCTGGCCAAATATTTATGTTTTTCTTTATAAATTAGTTTTCTTAAGGAATTAAAAATTTAACTTAAATCTTTTTATTAATCTACTAGTGCATTGAATTATGAATGCACTGAATATTTTGTATTTGGCTATCTATGCATAATATCAAACTATGATCTGCTGCATGTATCTTTGAGTGGCAATGGCTGGATGTTTAAGGTACTTAAACGCCATTGTGAAGAACTCTAGCCCACTCATCATCAGATTGATGGGTACAAGTGTTTTTGGAAAGTAAAGCTGACCTGTGTGCACTGTTGACCACTTTGTCACAATCATCTTCTAAAGGCTTTAGATATTGTATAATGCTTTAGATATTGCAAGTTAAGACTTTAGATATTGTAATCACCTAAAGCTTTAAATGTCTTGACTCACAACGGGCTGTTGTGGGAATATTTTACTTTTATAAAATATCACTGGCTAAATAATTTATTTTTTCTTTATTTATAGAAAAAATCAATAATATTTTGTTAATGTTAAATACAAATGTTTTTATCAGCAGTATTTATATAAATCTAATAAGTATTTGTTGTTAGTTATTACTAGATGATTACTTGATCGTATGGGGTAAAAGCAATCAGCAATCATTGAATCAGTATTGGTTTACATTATGCAATCATGCACCAACAGAGAGGTATATAGTGTAACAATTAAAAAATATATTATTTTATTATTATTTATTGCACTTCCCTGGATTTTACATTATTATATTAAGCAATGCATTTTTTTCCCAACTCATCAACAAAAAAATTATCAATTCTACTGGAACTAAATTAACTAGTTTGGAAGTAAAGATTACTGTCTGATTTACAGTGCCAAATTATTGATTCTCAGTCAAGTTTTAATTATACTCAAGTTTTACCACAATCATACTAATTTTGCAACACAAATAACGTGCCTTTTTTTAACATGTTTTTTGCATAATAACCTCAAAAGCATCAATCTACTGACGTTATTGGTCAAATTAGAGGTTTCATTTACATTAAAGCCTTTCGTTTTAATTTTTTTAGCAATGGAGCAGTAGGTCTTCAGAGTTATTGCTTTGCATCTCATAAATAAAAATTAGCATATACTTTCCTTAAGTACATTTCAATGGGGTTTTTTTATGTGTTAGTAATTGCCATTAACTTAATGCAAAGTGGATTGAGGATAAAAAAGCAGACTGTGTTCTGTGACACTCTTCCTCGGCTAGTGGAATTAAGTCATTTTCTGTCTTAAGTCCTACTGAGACAGAAAAAGAATAAAAATTGTTCATTCACAATCTTACTTTCTACTGCAATGAGTCATGAGATTCTTCCGATTTTTGATGGAATTTGCAATATCAGATAGTATTGGTTGAAGTACCTGGCATATCTGTTTTCTGTCTTAAAGATTTGGTATAATTGCTTATAATTCTAAAAAATTAACATCTGAATTTGTTTTCGAGAATGAGTGTCTAAAGAAACAGCGAAATTTAAAGTGAATAATAGCTTCAAAAACCTTTGCCAGGTTAGCATAGTTTAGCTTAATTCATAAGTGAGTGAACTATAGTGTGCCAATGGAACTCCAATAATCTTGTGTGTGCTGTTTCCATGTCATATTCCGGTGCTGACCGAGTTAACCTTTGTTTTATCCCTAGCTTCTGCTGTATTACTTTTAGATGTTCCTACTTACCGATAGACATTGTTTTTTTAAAAAAATTTAAGCTAGTAGGTTAAAAGCACTTTCAATTCTCACTATTATGACTTAAAAACTATTCGATTACATAATGTGAAATTTTCATTACTTTAGAAAGGTTTAAAGATTTTATTGATAGTTTTTGAGTTATTTTATGTTAAATTTTCTTCCTTTCTTTTGCTGAGTGTAAACTATTAACAGGAGAATTAAGATCGTTTTGAAATTGAAGACATGTACTTTTATATCTGGTAATTATAATTTGTGTCAGTATGTTTAAATTTCGAATTAGTTATGGAGTATTTAAATGGTTCATATTGACAGTTTTTCATGTTTTTTGACGTAAAAATAGAACTAACAACAGAAAAGTTTTATGATTTTTTTTCCGACCACATACTATTTTAAATGAAGAACTTTTGAACTTTTTTCATATTAAGAATTAAATTCACAGTTAATTACTTTTAAAATTTTAATGTTTTTTTTTCTTTCCTTTATGCAAATTTAAAAGGGCAACAGGAAATTTGTAGTGGCAGTATTAAATGCAAATGTGTTTATGCATTGTAAATATGTAGAGGAACAGAGAATGTGTAAAAATATGCATTAGCGAACAATAAACAGCAGAGTATCTAATTAATCTCAGAGTATCTATTATTCTAATTATATTAGAAGATCTTCTAATTATTGAAAAAATTTAAATTGCTGATTATGGATTATTTAAAAAAATGTGAAATCAATTTTCTTGTTCTTTTTCAATTCATTTCCTATTTCCACATGTTACATGTTATTTGCGTTATTCAACTTTGAGCAACATGTTTGATAATATTTTTTAACACTTCAGATTTATTGTTCACAATGATCATCAAAATCCGCAGTTGTCATCTTTGGGTACTTTTGTGAAGGAAGTTGAAAAGTTCAAACCTGATGTTCTAGTGATTGGAGGCTTACAAATGATGGATAACTTTCCTATGCCAGAGAGTGAGTATTTTTATGCCTAAATATGAATACTTTTTCATGTAATATCAGGGGTCTGTCCAGGCTGAATTTACTACCATTTAGCGGTACCTTCCCAGATTAAATTTTTGGTAAAACGGTAGTTTCACAAATTCAACTTTAGGAAAAACGGTAGTTTCACAAAATACTTTTTCTTAAAATTTTATTTTTGTATCCCTTAAGAAACGATAAATCCATATTTTTGTGTAGATTTTTAAATATAATTTTTAATTTTTCACAAATTATGTCTAAATTTTCACAAAATAGGTACCTCTCAGAAAAACCTAGACAGACCCCTGAATATAAATAATTGCCCTGAATCGGAATATTTTTTTCTTTTTATGACGCAACCCACCAAAAGAAATATTGAAAATGAGAAAGATGAATAGTAGTAAAAAAAAATTATGAATAAAAATAATTACAAGTAGTTTGTTTTACTTACATTTCAAAACTAGATTTTCAATTAAGAAAATGTTTTTCACTATTTCCTGTTTTATTTATCTCTTTCCTATTCTTACCATTGATATGCAGGACTCAAGAGCTCATATCACTGTTGATATGCTTGTAAATGATTGCAGTTTTGTTCTACTCTTGCATTGCATGGAAATGTATTCCGCCCTGCCTCTATACTTAAGTTTCTATTGCTTTTTCCTTTTATAATTTTTTGTGAGCAACCATACCATTTCTTGCTTTTATCATTCACCTTTTATCACCCCCATCCATTTCAACTATGAAGTAACAAGATATATTTTAAAAAGTGGTTGGCTTATTCTGAAAAACTGCACCTTGCAAACACTTCTTCAGGATAAACATCCCGCATTAACCCCTCTCCAATACGGACCCTCTCATAAGCAGATATGGACATTATTTTACATCTAAATTAACTGTTTTCAATTCCTTGAAGGGAAGCACAGGGCACAGTGGAGAGAGCATTCACCTTCTAATGAGGTGAACTGGATTCGAATCCCAGCGATGGCTGGTTGATACGAATACTGCACCCGGCTCGCACCGACCACAGTGCTTGCATAAAATATCCTCAGAGGTAGACGGATCATGGTTTAGAGTCCCCTTGTCACAGGCTAACCGTGTGAGGCTTTCATCTCCATGTAACACAAATGCAGATAAGTTCCATAAAAAAAGTGCTCCACGAAGGCAAATTTCTCCCAAAACTTAATCTAGGAGTGTCCTTGTCTTCTGGATTGGGTTCAAAATTACAAGACTGCAAAGTTGAACATTAGTAGTCAAAAACCCAAAAATTGTGTCGGCAGTTCAATGACAGTTATAAAATTCCTTCAAGACTGCTACTCATAATTTTTTTAAAAAATTTTTTACTGTTTTTTTAAAAAAAATTGAATTTTACGTAAAAGTGAATCTTTTCGTTTAAAAAAGAAAAAAAAACGTAATGGAGTAAGGAGAAGGATGAAGTTTTGTGTGGAGGAATTTAAGATGGGAATGGCAACACTAACCTTCGTTCATGACTTTTGATTATAGATTAGTTACCTAACCGTGAGTTCGTTAATATGATTAAGATTTCATCCTGTATAGCAAAAACTACCCTTTTTTAAGAATTCAATGAGGCCAGGTTACTAAAGGTAGGCATTACTACTGTCTTTGCAAAGCAAAACAGTAAAGCATCATCATTAATAACTTGTTATGATACAGGGCTTATGGAGGTTAAGGCTCCACAATTTCATAAGCAACAGCAAGATTGTGATAATGTGGTTAGCATTACACACAGGCTGGGTGGGCTTCAAGCCGAAGCTGCAGATCGTAACCCAGTTAGTTCACTGGACGTGCATTATCAAAATTGACAACTCAAAACCGGAGTATAATTTTTTAATGTATTTTTGTCCATCACAATGACAGTTCAGTGCCTTAACTGATGAGCCACCGTGATTCCACTGTCTTCGTAACATATTTCAGAGAAGTATTTCATGTTGTGAGCTGATTTCAGAATCATTCATTAGTAACAGTAGCTCACTTATACAGTTTTCAATATGATTGTTTTATTAGGTAACATGGTTTCAGATATCATATAAATAATATTCACTCCTAATTGAATGAAATTTATCAGTTTGATGTCACAAATTTTGAAGAATTCTTAAAAAGAAATAGTCTACAAAAAAATTTAAGTTAAGATCATAAGCTAATGAGTACCTTTTCTTGTAAAACTACTTCAAACACGAAGAAAGAAAGTAAAGATCCTTTATGATTAAATTTAAATATAATTTCAAATTTTGATTGTATATTTATTTAATCATCATCTTGATCTATTTAAAAACAGTTTACTATGTTAGATTACTCAATTAGCATGTACTTTTCTTAAGAAAACACCTCATTTATTCAGACAATTTTGTTGGTCCCCTCAATCGAGGTCAGATAAAACTCTGCTACCATAGCAGGGGTGCCACCCTCTTCCGGGGATTAAAATTGCGGTGGCGTGTCTTCAGATCATCCTCAGGGATGTTTCCCAGACCGTTGCCAATAGCCCATTGTGCAGCTCTAGTGTGGCATAAATTAAGTGCCTACCTACCTACAATCTCATAAAAAAAAAGGTAAAAGGAATAAAAAAATTAAGAAATGAAAAATTTAAATCAGTCGTTTATCATAACTTAACAAAATTTACAAGAAAATGTTGATTAAAGTTCAATTATTCAGAAATGTCATATTGCAGGTAAGCAAAGAGATCGATTGCAGAAAGTTCAAGAACTGATGAAAAGCCAACCTGATGAGAGGAGGATTCATTTTGAGATGGCTTCTTTTAGTGATGAGAATCTCCTGAGGAACTTGGTTGAAAATGTCATACCTTATGCAGATTCTTTGGGCATGAATGAACAAGAACTTCCCAACTTATATCAAATGATTGAATATGGAAACATTAGCCTCTTGGCTGATTCTCGTCCAAGAATTGCTGACATTTTAGATGAAATGAGAAAAGTTTATAAGTAAGATTTCATTTTATTTCTTTGTTCACTACCTTTGCATTAATTAGGTAAAAAACTTAAGGATACATTAACATACAGTATTATAAAAATAAAAAAATGAAGAGTAATTTTTCTAATTTATAAATTTTTGAGCAGTGAAATTTAAAACAGAAGTTAAATTTGTAAATTACTGCCATTTTATGACACAGATTTTTTTGACTGATATATTATTTAAGTTAAGTAAGCTCTGTAGAATCATTGATTGAATATTTTCCCTGAACCATTATTTCTCATGAGTGGATTTCATTTCTTTTTTGATTTTTTTTTACACTACATACTGATTAATTAGATTAAGATCTCAGAAAAAAACTTACTTTAAGAAATATATTGCATTAAATTTTTTATGCATTTTTTATTTTGTTTCTACAATTTTACAGTATGTCTAGAATTTATGTCAAAATTAACTTCTTTCCTTATTGGAGTAAAAAGGGTGTCCTTAAAGATAGTCTGAATTTTAATCAAATCAAAAGTTATTCAGTCAGACCTCACTATAACGAACTGTCTGTGGACTCAGCTATAAGTGCATTTTAAACAATGGTTTGTTATATCTAAAATCTTTGAAAAAATATATTGTGGCACATTGCTGCAGTATTGTTGAAAATAGTGATTATGATAGTACAAATCTTCTTCATGAATTATTAACTAGCTAAATATATAAAGTCTCTTTATAACGTAATTTCCTTACAGTGAATTTCTTCCAATAACATAGAAACATTCCTTAGAAAGACATTAGAAAAATTTCCCATATAACGAAGCGGTAGTCACCTTATAACAAATGTTTTGATACTTATCTATATCATTTTTGTAATTTTTAAATGTTTATCGTTTTGATTCAATTTTTGAAACATTTGATTATTTATCATTTTCAATGGAGGTTGCATTTAAAACTTGTAATTTCTGTGCAGCTTATTNACATTAGAAAAATTTCCCATATGACGAAGCGGTAGTCACCTTATAACAAATGTTTTGATACTTATCTATATCATTTTTGTAATTTTTAAATGTTTATCGTTTTGATTCAATTTTTGAAACATTTGATTATTTATCATTTTCAATGGAGGTTGCATTTAAAACTTGTAATTTCTGTGCAGCTTATTTGCTCTCCTATGCTAGTTTTGGAACTTAAGGCATCATTCCTTTCACTGAAATGACTTGTTTAAAGCACTCCTTATAATGTGCATTACTTCATTTTTAATTAAAATTTATAATTATATACTTTTGAACTTATTACATAAACTAGACATTTTGTAACATTGATTCAAATACTTGACAATCTGAAATTCGTTTGAACTATAAATGAACTACCAGTTTCTTAGCTGTTCGTTATAAGCGTATTAAATAACATTTAGTTAAATAACAGTGAGAAAGAGACCATCAAAAACGTTCGCTATAACCGAGTGTTCATTATATCCCGTGATTTTTATAGTGGGGTTAGACTGTATTTAATGATAGAAGTTGGGCTTATATTTTTTAGCCCTTCTATTCATTCAAACCTAAATTTAAGATTGATCTATATCTGATACAAAAAGTGTCATGTTCTTGTAACTGATAATCAGTTGATAATTACTTAGTAACTGATGCAAAAAAATGGGTATTTACCCATTTCTAGTTTTAGGCATACCAATGATAAATACCAGTCGGCCACTCAGGAACAAAAGAAATGATACTACATGTGTGGATTATTCTTTGGGAAATAAAAGTTTTTTTAAAAAATGAAGCAGGGAAGAGAATTTTAAAAGAGTATAAAGCAAGTGAAAACTGTTTTTGAGTTAATGAAAATTATTGAATGCTTATCATTCAACGTCAATAATTATTAACCGCTCATTAATCTTGGTAGTTAAGAAAGCTACAACCATTTTACTGTGGCAGTGTTCGCTCCGAGAGGTTTCGCTGTAATTAATTACTTATTATTTTATTAAGTAAAGATTTAAAAATTTTGATTGTAAGGTATACAAATCTGAAAGTATCTTTACTGCATATACATTAAGTTTTCTGTAGGGGATGTTTTCTAATCTGCTGCAATCTTTTAAACTTATAAAATATTGTATTCAATGTTTATATTTTAATTTACTGTATTATTGCAATGTTTTTATTTACTTTAATTTGTCCACATATTATTAATTTGAAAGCAATGAACCTTTTTCATGACTTCTTTTGTGTGTGTGTGTGTGTGTCATTTAGTTTCAGCATTTTTTTATTTTTTTGAAACAATTTCTGTGTCTGATATAATCAAATAAAATACTTTTCTTTTAATTAAGTTTGAATTTTGTTGAAAACAGGGTTTAAGCTGATTCAAAAATTATTTAGTTGAAAAGTTAAAATCAGAAAGAATGCTGAAATGCCTCTAGGTTTATAAATACGATTTTGGGTACCTCAACTAGTAGAATGTGCAAAGAAACAAAGGCCTTTATTTCCTCCCTTTCTTCATGGCAAAACGGATTTCTATTCCTATCTTTGATGATCGCTTTACTTCATCTCGTTGCGACTCATTTGATTCTGAATTTTTTTATGATGTTCTAGTCATAATTTTTTCACAAAAACCTATTTTCTTTTAAAGAAAAAAAAATAGAATTTGGAAAAATTCTATAACGAAAAAGTGAAAAAATGTTTCATTTTTACATTTTTGAAAAGATTTTTTGCATTTTGCGAAAAATACTTCCATAGTGGAAACCCTGCTTTAAAACATTTATAAAAGGTATTAATATTTCATACCTTTGTAATGGAAAAGTTTAAGAAGTTTTTAATCATCGCAATTTTACATTGAATATTTTTATGCATAGCATTCAGACTGAGAACTTCTGTTTCTGTCTTAATACTTCTTCAGTATGTATTTTCTCAATTTAGTGCCTTCAAAAAATTATTATTATTATTTTTAGCTTGGGTATTTTCTAGGTGTAGTATCTTTGAAAATACCTCATCTGAAGCATACGGTTTCCAGAGGTACAAAGCACTTTGTTGCATCGCAGATCTATTTGTAATTTCTACTTTAAATGGCTCACATTTTTTATTATATTATTTTTTCAAACTAATTATGTTCAAAAAAATGCATTACAGAGGGAAATATTTTATTAAATTACTGGCCTATTACTACCTATTTATTTATTTTTATTGGCTTAATTCTGCTTTATGTCATGCAAATGCCTCCGGGTTTTGACTGGGGCTTCTTGGCCTCCTCTGCTCATTGACAAAACTATGGTGCATTTCATCGTGTGAGACTCGGGGGCTTCCCTTGTGTCCACAAATTGCTTGGTCGCCCGTGCTGTGCGGGGTTGCTGCGCCACCGCGGGACATCACATTTTGGCGTATGAGCCCTATGGGCCTAGGTCGCGACACCAAACTTCCTTATGTCATGCAAATAAATAAATATATATTTTAAGAGGTCTTGTGCTTTATTTTTTCTAGAATTTAATTTTTTTAAATCTTCTGTACAACATAATATTTTACTGAACTTCTCCATAAATTTATAAATCAATAATATTTTTTCAACTTGATTATAAATTTGCATTAAAAAAATTTTTTAGTGTAATATTTTCCTACATGAAGTATTATTTTGCGAAGTTTCTTTAGAAATTTATGTTTCGGTACTTTTCCCCCACCTTCTTTATAAATTTGCACAAAAAAATTCTTTTAAACTTATTTATAAACGAGTGTTTTCTTAACTTTTTATTACTCTATTATAATTTTTTAAAATAAATTTCAGGGTACTTCAAGAAGGGTCAATGAATCAGGGTCATCGTAAATTAACAAGACTTCATGTCCACACACTTGCATTCCAAGCCTTTATGGTTCAAAAGAACTCACCTTGGAAAAATATCAAAGCAGCAGCGGCTAAGGCAGCACTCACAGCAAACCGTCATACCTGTGGCTCAGACACTATTGATGTTAACAAGGCTAAGTTACTGATGGACGACGCCTTCACCACCAGCTCAAAACCGGGTTCACGCCGTATTCCTTTTGATCCAAAGGATCCTGTGTCTTGCTGGGATGAAAATAATTACACGGTGTGTATTGCACCTGTTTTAGTCTGTACAGATGTTTTGCAAACTGGAGGAGGGGGTGACAACATCTCTTCGTCTGGGCTTGTGTTGCAAATTTAATTGTAAATAATATATATGTATAGATTAACTTTTTTTTATATTTTGAAAGTATTTGCTACATTCCTATTTTTATTCCAATAAGAAAAAATTAACTACTGGCCAATTTTTAATTTTTCAAAACTCTAGTCAAACATTTTGTTTCAAATAGTAGCTAAATATGTATATTTTTTAATTGATTTTTGTTACCAATTTATTTCTGCCATTGACAAGAATTCTATTTATTTTTGTAAGGGGTTGTCAATTGCTGAAGATTTCTCATTGTTATGGCATATTTTAATTCCTAACAGTTACTGCCTGCATTTTAGTTTTAGAAACATGTTACATTAGAACCCCAAACAATTGTCTTTCATGGTAGTATTCATTACAAATGATAGTTGTGTGAAAACATTGAATGCGGGTGAACACAAAATATCAAATAATGATTTGAAAAAGAATAGAAAGAAGTAAGTAAGTATTCTTAATTAAGAAGTAAGTATTCTTAAATTAATAAATTTATAATAAATATGAAAAATTTTCTTTGAAAAAATTATGAAATTACTGTAAAAATATTTATGATGCTAAGAAAAAAGGGAGAAAATGTGAATAAACACATTTCTTTCTTTTAAATATTTGGGAATTTCAGTTTGGATACACTCTTATTTTCCGTTGGTAACAACAAATTTACAACATTTGAAACAGATTGCTGTTCATGTGAATACAGAAAGGTCCCCATTTTTTTTAATGCTAACGTGTCCACTTTTTGTTGTTCCATTTTGTCACCACGCACGGTAATCAGTTAATCAAACAAACTGGATTCGAATGCGATTTCTTATTATTTTGGGGACCTTTTACAGATATATATTAAGAAGATAATGAATACTGGAGATATAACTTTCAAAATAATCCTTATAATAATTGAGTATTCTCGTAGCTATGCTCAACTTCTCATCATTATACTAACTGAAGTTAAATTTGCTACGCTTTCGAAGGACTATCAGCTATTTATTTTTCCTTTTTTTTTAAAAAAAATCTTGTGTTAAAAAGTTAAATGCCGTCATCCGATAAATGTTACCAGTGATTGACAACCCTGTTTTAAAATCATTAGGTTGAAAAAAAACATGTTTGACTAGTTTTTGTTTTAGCTTTTATACAATTTTTCCCCCTCTTGATATTCTTATGTCTTGTTGAGATTTAAATATTCATGCAATTTCTGGTGTAAATTGTTTGGGAAGCATTTCTTTCTTTTTATTTTTTTCATTGGTATCAAAATAAATGCTCAAACAATTGACAAGATTTTAACTCTGACAAGATTTGTTTGCAACCAATTTTTTAAAAAATCTTATATTCCCCTTTTTATTATTGATTACGGAGAAAAAATTATGAAACATTCCTTTATTTCAGTACTCGACAACATATATTGATTTAATTTTTCACTTATTGAGCTAAAAACTTCATGGCATTTTTTTTAATTAAATAAACACAAGTTATATTAGTTATATCAAAAGCTTAAAGTAATTTGTAAGTATTTATGAATTTTCAGAAGTTAATTAAGTAATATATAAATAAACTCTTTTATTTAAACGATGGATTAATCTTCACAATTAATTGTTAGAATATCTTAATAGTTTTATTTAATGTGAATTCTATAAACATTTTGTCCTTAAACGTGCCTTTCAGTTAATAAATGGGCAGATTCTAGAAACGGTGGAGCATGCTCTGATTCTTCCTTCAATTTGTTAAATTTTCAAGTAATCCAATTTGTAGTTCTGAAATGATGTCATAATTCTTTATTTTGCTATAATTCATTTTTCAATATTTTAAAATACACTCAACTCTTGACTTAATGAATCCTGTTGAAAACCATAATTGTAATGTGAGGTTGTCATAATGCCAGTGTTCAAAATAACTGTGCTTATTTTGGCGAAACGAGACTTGATTTAAATAAAAATTCTGAAACAGGCTGAAAATTTAATAATAATGCAACAATAATGAAATAATAACAACTGATAATTGATAATAACATGTAAAAGCATCATTTTAAATAGTGAATTATTAGATAAAAATACATTTAAAAAAATTATTCACTGGATTTTTAGCAGCCTGTTTTGAAAATGTATGTTTAGTGAACTAAATGGGTTATCGATTCTCAGTAGTAGCTTGAAACATTCCAAGCTTCAAATTCATGATCACCAGCTTGTCGGGGAAGTAAAGCCAACCTGTGTACAATGTGAATCACATTGCCACAATCCTGCTATTGGTCTCAAAATTGTAGGCCTTAAATTCCATGTCCTTCTGATCCCTTGTGGGCTGTTGTGGAATGCTTTACTTTTATGCCCATTGAATTGCAAAGTCTATACAATAATGAAATAAAATAGCAGTAGTTAGAATGAATCAGAGCATGATCCAGTGTTCAAGAAACGTCTGAATATTGTAAAATGTCTATTCAATTAATAATGTTAGTAATAATTTGTTTAATCTTTTGTTGTAAATGATAAATTATATTTTTAATCTTAAGGGACATATATATATATATATGTTATAAAGGGTGTCATATTATGACCGACCTTAATCTATATATTTAGCATCCTCATTAAAAATGAAGTAAACAAAATTAATGTTTAATAATAGACGCAAATTAATATTTAAGCTGTAAAAGAGGAAAAAAATTGATCGTAAACTTTTGAATCTTTGCTGTGGAAGGCGGGACTAAAAGCAATACAATTTTTAAAATGGACCTAAGAAACATAAAGGAGTTTTTAAAAAAAGTGATAAGGAGAAACGTAGCCAGATTTTATCAGGCAATGAGTTCAATTATGATGTTTTTTATCCTGTCTTCGTCACTGTTGATTCTTTAAATATTCTTTTTTCCTCACTTAACTATTAATTTGTAACCTCTAATGTAAAATTTTTTTTGACCTGGATTCTAAAAATATACATTTATGGCGGCCATTTGTATTTAAGAGTATTTGTTCATCTAAGTGATATTATGTACTTATAGTATCAAATAATATATTCAAAATATGTACTTTTATAATGCAGTTGATATTATTTTTGTAAATGCTCATCAAAAGTACTGAAAATTTTATAAATAATTTAGATGAAAAGGAAATAGAATTGTTGAATATTTAAGAGCTATAATGCTGAGTCAAAGAGCATATAAAACTGAATTTGGTTTGGGAACAACAAAATTTTTATGAAATATTTTTTTATTCTTAATTGATTTGAAACATCACATTCCTTTATTTTTTATGCATTTTTGTTGCTTTAGTTGTTAACAAATGTTTATATAATGTTTCATTTGAAAAAAAGAATTTAAGTTCTGTTTAATCGAACTAAATTAATGGAATATTTAAAAAATTATGGTTGAAGATCGATGATAAAAAATTCTTAAAAAATTTTATTCCATGTCATTCCATTATTATTTACTCTGTTGTTCAAAAAATAAAACAAAATCTTATTGAATTTCATGAACAGAACAATTTCTTTCTTACCTTATTAATTTATTTCTCTTTAAAACCGTTTTTAAATTTGTTAATTTAAGAATTGAATAAAAATTTTATTAGGATTAAATTAATATTTCTTCTGTAACGTAATAACACATAAGTTTAGCTTTCAAAATTTTGATATTTAAGTTACTATCAAAAGCAACTCAAAGTAAACTGCAGAAGTTTTAAGAATATATATATATAATGCAAAGACATGAACCACGAATACAAAATCATTGAAGAAAAAGAATAAGATGCGACAAGTTGCGACATCACCAAGCTGCTAATGTCACAGCTGAAAGAATATTTTAGGATGAATTAAAATGAGCTATTATATATAATATAATAGTTATTATATTATATATACCTTATAAGGGAACTAAAAGTATCAGCACAGCAGAAGAAAACCAAAACCATTAATAAAGAACAAACTACACATCACCTTGTGAAAGCGGTATTGGAAATAGCTACTAGTAGTTTGTTGTTTTTTATTTATGGGTTTGGTTTTTTCTGCTGTGCTGGTACTTTTAGTTCTCTTATGAAGTAATAACTTATTTTAATTTTATTTCACATTAAAATATTTTTCTTTTTTTTTGTATTTATTTATTGTGCTATATATTTATATATTGTTAAAGCTTAAAATTCCAACAATGTATGCTTGACTGAAAGAAGCTGCTAAATAAAATTATAACTCTTAGAAAAAATTTAACTCTATTATTGTTTATTAAAATCTCACCACCCAATCAAGGAACTATATTCATTTTATACTTCACCATCTGTGTTGTTTTTAAGTTGTTAAATAGATCGGAATTAATTTTTGATGGACCTACATAAAATGAAGAAGCAATAATTCTTTTTTCTTTCATTTTTTTTTTGAGAAAGAAAAATGTTTTTATTCTTTTACACCATTTGTAAAATATTAAATTGAATTTTATATATTTCTAAAGCCTGTTGTGTTAAGTGAACAGTATTGTTCAATGCTGAAAAGATCAGTATATGGATAATTGCTGTGTTGGCAGAGAGTTGACACTATCCCAAATGGATTAATCTATGAACTTAGGAAATTGTATTTTTTTAAGTTCTTTTCTTGTGTGATTAGGCATTTTTGCTTCTTAAAAATGAATACATTTTGCTTGTACTTCATAATCTTGTTAAATTGCTTACCTTGTATATAATGATTGTTTATCCTTTAAAAAAAATTAATTATAACTGGCTACGGCACCTATGTAACAGCTTGAAATGACTGCAAACAGTTAATACTCAAAATGTTATTTTTGTTGTTGATTTTTTGTTTTCTCGTGTTGTCCCATGCTAAATAATTATGAAAGTAGTTGCAATTTCCTTTAAACACTTTAATCTTTTAGCTGTACATAAATGAATGACACATACTATGTTGTCACGGCAGAATATAATTCATTAACAAAAAAAACAAAAAATGGTTGATAATAGTTATACATGTATTCTCAGACCACTTCTGCTCGACTTCACGTTCAGGTCGTCGGGCTACCGAAGCGGGGGTGCCATCCCCTCTGCAGAGGATCAAAAATGTGATGGCATGTCTTCGGATCATCCTCAGGGATGTTTCCCAGACAGTCGCCAATAGCCCATTGTGCAGCTCTAGTGCGACTTAAATGAACTACAACAACAACAACAGACCACTTCTGCATTGCTTGAGAAGTCAGTGAGAGCTTTGGTAAAAGCATTCTATGGCCGTGTTGGCCTGCCATGTACGTATAGGTCTCTAGCCAAGGGAAAGACAGGTGGGGCGCTAGCAGACATTCCCCCCTCCCAGAATATTTTCAAAAAAATAAATGGTATCAAATAAAGTTAATATGTTATTTATACTAATTTATATAATTATTTATTCTAATATTTTACTTTATACCCAGCTTTAAACAGCCAACCTATTTTTGGGTTTATGTCTATCAATGTTTAACTCCATAGCATTGTAATTTAGTACCTAACCCCGAAGACAAGATAATTAATATATCAAACATTGGGACCCACTAACCTTCGTGGAAGACTTTTTGATGGAACTGACCCACATTTGCGTTACTTAGAATGGAAAACCTCCCATGGTTTAGCCCATCGGCAAGAGGATTCTAACCCATAATTCATCTACCGCTGAGAATATTTATACGCCTGGCCAGGAGCAGAATTTTCTGAGCCAGTAGCGGAATTCGTATCAACCAGTCATCAAGTGGTTTCAAATTCGGATGGCACGCACTCTATCCCTTGAGCCATCATTAACCTCTTTAGAGACATCGAAGCTCACGTTCTTCACTTACCTGCCCACTGGTAATACACCAATAGTTAATCAGTTGCAGATAGCAACCAATAGGAAAACGTTTCTATTGGGTTATGGATATGAATCTTCCAATAGGAATGTTGTGAATGGCGATTGGTTTATTAAACTCAGTGATACAGTTCATCCTCTGGCTTGAACATCTCTATACTATCTTTTAATCAATATACAAATCTGGACTAAAAATTATCGATTAAAAAACATATGCCTACCCTACTAGTGGTGGTTTGCCCTTCTAAATGGAAATGCTAGCAACGAGCCAGCCTGTGAACAATGATATGCATTATCACAGAAGATTACATTTGCCTCCATTCTTTGTCTCATCGAACATGGCATAGCCTGATATTCATCCATCGCGATCAATACAGAAATGGCTTCTACATTTGCTGTTACGTGCACTGTTTCTGGTCATCTTGCACTGTGTCCACCACTGACCTCGATATGTCTCGAGAGTTCTTCATTCTTGCTCGTTGACATCACTTCCCTTCTTTCTTCTAGGAACCATTCTGTTTTAACCTTCCATCACTGGTGTCTGCCCTGTTTGAGGGTGGAGAAAAGAATGGACTCTCCTCTTGCAGCCAATGCTATCTATCTATTCTGTATGACTCACGCCTATTTCAGCGGCTTTACCTCTTGCATTGATCTATAATTTTACTATGTCAATCGTTTTTGTATGACCCGCTTACCTTCTATTAGTTTGTCATACTTCATAAATTTTTATTATTTAAAAAAAGAAGAGAAAAAAAATCGTAAAAGTTGCTTGTAGACTGCTTTTGAACTGACGTCAAATTAATTTTGCTTGGCTGATATTTTTTATCTCTCTGCCATTTTCGATTGATTTCGAAATTCTTATTCACTTAGCACTCAAACTTAGACATGGTGTTCTGTAATGGTTACCCTTAATCTGTATTTTTACTATCCTTATTGTCAAAAATGGAAACATATATACATAAAGTTAAAAGCATAGAGTAAGCATGGAAAATAATATAATAAAGATAAATGAAAAGTGAGAGGAAAAAAATTAAAATCCCGGAAAACAAAATTGTGAAAATATATAATCTCGTCATCAGCTCTCACAATTATAACTGCAAAAAGAAGTATATATATGACGTCATTTTATATCATGAAAATTACTTGATGTGTGATGATTAGAGCCCGGATTTTGATGACCTAAAAAATCTCAACTAATGCCCTTAAAAAGTGCAAAAAATGCCCTTAAAAATGCCTTAAATAAAGTAAAAATATTGAATTAAAAAATTTTTTTGTTCTTTAGAATTATTATGAGTCATTTAAAAAATATAAAGCAATGCAATACTTGTTCTACATTCATTAAATTTTGAAAAATATGTTTTATATCCTAAAATAACAAAAAAGGAAAATATATTGACACCAAAATATTTTTATTTTGTATAGAAACTTTAATGGATATAACAACTTCCATCTCATAATATTACTAAATATCAGAATTACATTGGATTATTAAATGTTTTTTGATAATTTGAATTGTATGTCTCTTGCCTGAAAGTAAATTTTCATTCCTGCAGAAGCTTCTTTCAACGTCTACTGATGTTACAGGTGCGTACTTGACTCTCACTTTCTGATAATTCTTCTTCAATTTGAAAAGATTTTGCTTTACCTGTTAATATTCTATAGATTTTCTTCATTGTTTGGAAGCCAGTGTAGTAATGAAAATTGATAAAAAATTAACAAAAAAAAACTTTAAAAAATGCAAAATACGCCCCAAAATTTAAAGAAAAATGCCCTATAAATCTAAAAAAATGCTCTAAAGGACAAAATATGTCCAAAAATGCGAAAAAATGCAAATGTCATCAAAATCCGGGCCTTAGTGATGATCTTTCTTGTAACTGTGAAGAAATAAGTCCTCAATGTAAAACAGAGTTGAAAAAAAGTTTTTACTTCAGCTAACAGTTTAAGGGTGATGAATTTGGAATAGCCTATGTGTTTACTTTCATACCCACACACACACACATTGTGTGTGTTTAATATATTGCAAAGTTAAATTTCATCAATTTGTTATTTTTAATCTCTATGAAATTGTTTGCTGCACAATTATGTTATTATGTGTGTCGCTTATCATGTGACACAAAAGAAAAATGAATAGTAATTTTATTGAAAGGTTAGAAGATATTACCACCTTTATGTTGTAGGTTGTCTCATAAAACCTGTTTTTAGTGGCACTCTCACCAAATTGTTATTGTTTGTTTAAAGAAATATTTCGAAATAGTGAATTATGATAATTGTAAATTTAATTTATTGAGTCCTTATTTTCAAAATTTGATTACATTTTAAAGTTGAATAAAATAATTATTGCCAATCAATAAAATACGGCAATTTTTTTCGTATTTGCAGAGCAGTCTAATTTTTTTATCCATATTTTATTTGCTCAAATATTGATAAATATGCAGCTACTAGTTTTTGTATTATATTCTGTGTACTCGATTTACTTTATTCAAGACTTTGTATTTAAAGTACCAATTTGTACCCCTTATTCAAAGCAAAAGAAAAAATGAATGTAATCTTATCAATGTATACCAGATGTTGAATATTTTCTCTTCGTTTGTGAATTTTTGTTTAAAATAACGTTCCTTAATAATGTGTGATCTCAAAATAAATTAAAATTTTTTTATATGTCAGATGCTTTTTTCCCCCTTCTTTTATTCTGAAAGTTTTCTTTAAGATGTTTAAATTAAAAGTGTAGAAAGACATATAAAGATTTAACATCCAAAACTATTGTCATTGACATAAAATTGAAAAAAAAATTAACAAATCAGCTTTTTGCGTAACAAAGAAAATAAGTAAGTCGGCAAAATTTGAAACACTTTAGTTGCGAGGTATTGCCAGATTTATTCTAGAGTTTTTATCTCTGAACTACATCAGTGGCTTAACTGTTAACGTATAAGGCTGACATGCACGAAGTTATGTCGAACATAAACTAATTATGCATCGAAGTTGCCAGGTACACTAAAAAAATATATATAAATAATAAATCTAAGTTAAAAGTAAAAGGCGTTAGACGCGAAAGAACTATATTTCAACAAATTCGATGTGCGATACGGTGTTGTATATAATTAACATTCTAACTTATGTGAAGAAACTTAGCTCAACTTTAACATGCTATTTTGCTTATAAACGATTAGCTTTCGCTGACGTCATAGATCACGTGTGAGTATCCGTGATTTTCTTGAAGTGCATGTACTCAATTGATTAAAAAAAATAGTGCGTGGAGTCCCTCCGCGCGGAAGAAGTTAGACTTCGCAACCTGCGACGTTAATTGTAGAAGAATCAGCAGTCGTAGAAACGATTTGATTTATTGAAATTACAAACATTTGCTGACTTGTGTGCTCAATATATAGGCTTATAAGTCATTGTCAAGTAGAAAATACAGATAGAACAATTCAGAGAAAGACATCACAAAGAATACATCCAGGGTTACGGCGGGATTCGAACCCGCTACCTCCACGATTAACAGAGCGTTTGGAACGGCGATACCGCTTGGCCAGGGAGGCCCCCGTAGAAACGATCACTATTTCTATTCAACGACTCTTTCCTGCTCCGCTCGCTTCCGTGCTCTGTAATCACGGTAATATTGTGCATTTTTCCCTCGTCGACCTCTTGAACCAGTGGAAGTGCTTATGGTTGCCTTATCGTCTCGCGCTGGAAAATGTATTTGTATTAATGTGAATGCGTCATAATGTAATTTCAGAAGAGAAACAATCAATTGATATTTACAAGAGACGTACCTTAAATCCATCGCATTGTCCGTGGGATTGTTTTCACTCATTTTTTACAATTGTTATCCACTTTATTTGAAAATAAAAAATACCACCCTATTAAATTATATGTGTATCAAAACAAACTAAAAAAATATTTATGGAAAAACAATACTTTTATGACCTTTATTATTTTCATGCTAGTGAGAACCAAATAACTATGGAAATGAATGAGGGAAAACTGGATCCTACCACGTGATTTCCCGGCCAATAAAAATGTAGCGTTAAACGTTTAACGCAACCTTGTTGGAAGTCGCATAAGAAGTATCACTTCAAAATGAGTTAGTCCCGCAGTGGACTGATCGTTAAGACACGGTTCCCAGAAGATCACCGAAGTCAAGCATCACTGGCTACGGTCAGTGTGCGGGTGTATGACAACTTGGATCTGTCTGCGTAGGGACCGAGGGTGTGCGGTATTGGTCCTCGTTAAACTGTGCTACCGTAAAGTGCTCGACTTCGCGTGCAAGTCGTCGGGCTACCGAAGCGGGGGTGCCATCCCCTCTGCTGAGGATCAAAATTGCGATGGCATGTCTTCGGATCATCCTCCGGGATGTTTCCCAGACCGTCGCCAATAGCCCATTCGCGATCGAAATGAACTATAGGTGGTGTCTGGACGAATTCTTTACTTATGGCAACACCCTGCATGCGTTTACCATTAGCGTGTGGACAGTCATAGAGGTGAGATCTACGTCTGAATACATTCTATTTTTAAAATTAATTAAAAATTTTATATTTTCGAGTCAACTATTTTTCGAAAGCTTAGAAATGTTTCTGAAATGTAGAATAGCAGAAATTATTCGATATGTGGAAGGAAATCCTAATGCACGATCAATTGTTGAAGCAGAGCGACTTGTGGATGCTGACCATTTTACACAGCCAGGTGTAAAAGAAAGAAACGGTACGCAGAAAAAGCTTTTCCCACTTTGTATGCAAACTTCAGCTCTACGTAAAGATCCCCATCAAATTGAAGGAGAATTCAGCATTGCAGGCGATAATCTAATCGTTAAAAAACTTTCCTGTTCTTGTGTAGCTGGGATCAGTGGCACGCGGCCGTTGGTCTGTTGATATATTGTTCAAGGTAAGCGTTAAATGCAATCTACATTGATTAAAAAACTAATGTTTGTTTCTTTTTTTTAAAGTTTTGTATGTATGTAATGCGCATTGCTGTGAAATTTTATTATTGTAGTGAGCTACCTAAAGCTCATATTTGGGAGATATCCTATCGTTTTGCTAAGCGTGTGAGCTTATATATGTTTGATTTATCGTTATACCGAAGGAATGTAAATGCATAAATGTAGCTTATTGATTAAGAAATAAAACTAAGAAAAAATATAAATATCCTGATAAAGCCTTTACCCTTCACCTATTAAACAAAATGCCAATTTTTCATTCAATTATCATAATAAAATAAATTTCAAAGCTTTTGCATGAAGCTAGAAATTTTTACTTATCTGAAGAGTGTTAAATTAAGTGTATGTTAAGAGTGTGTTATATCATTCAGATTTTTGTATATAAAGTTAACAGAAGTTAAAATGTATAATTTGATTAAGTAATGCAATTTGCACATCTAATGATTCTTTTGCTTATTTTTCTTAATCTAGGGCTTGATAAGCAAAATATATGAGCTTAAATAAAAAGATATAATTATTACTAATAAAAATGTGAGCACATGTTACCGAAAGTATGTCTGCTTATTTTGATTGTACCTAACATAATGGACAAAATAAACATCTCAGAGTTATCTTTGTAACGAGTATAAATGCATAATATAAAATCTGTATTATATTGATATTATATAAACTAGGGTGACCCGGGGTAATTCACGATCACTCTGTTTCTGGGGTAATAATGATCACTTAAGTTTTATTTTTAAAAAATTATTTTTTTTAAAATTTGAGACATGGACAAGGATGCTTGTGCACTTTACTAAAGTATAACTACATTAACTTAATAATAATGTTTTGTTTAATCTAACAAAATAAGTATCTTTTAAACTGCTTTCTGTATTTTCCATTTCAAAGATGGGTTTCAAAATGTGCACATTTCTGCAAAGATCTTAATAATAAATATTCTTCTTCTCTTAATAATAAATATTTTGAGTTTTCTATATTTATGTTTTATTTCAAAAATGCGCTTTGTTTGTATTTACCATTTTGGCAGAGGGACAATTTTCATTAGCTTTACTATCATTATACTATTACGATACTATGATAGATTTTACTTGCAATTTAAAAAAAAAAACAAAACAAAAAACAGACATGTAGATGTTTTCCCGGGGTTGTAGTTAAGAGTTTTACCTTTCGAGTTGATCCCATTCTGTGATTTTTTTTATTTTTTTTTTTTAGTTTCTAAGCAGCCAAAACTTGGCGATTATTCTGCCACAGATCAGGATATAAAATTCTCCCTATCAATAGTAAATAATGTTTTTAAACTTTATTTTTGTAGAAATGATGTGACACGTTTTTAGGAGATGTCCTCTACAGATTTGCAATGTTCTTGGAAGAGGCAGAAGCAACAAAAAAGATCACGCCTTGACCCTGTACCCATTCAAGATTATTGTCACTCAAAGAGAGTGGCAAATCGGACAGTGTTTAGCGAGGAGGATGCGGAGAACATCAGACTAAAGTATGCCTCACTTCTCCCAACTTCTATTATGGAAAAAAGTTATTACAGAAAACGACAAGTTGGAAATGGTTATGTAACGTATGTACTTTTTTTTTATTTTTGTGTGTGTTTATGTCCTCTAATATTGTCCTATATTTATTAATATTGCCTTCTAATATCTCATTTATCAGTGGAAATTGCATGTTTTCAAACGTAAATGTCATTGAAGACATAATAGGACACTTATGTCGCTTTTCAATTTATAAACTGTTATTATTATTATTTTTTCTTTATAAATAGAGGGTTAAATACAATTTCCAAAAATGGTGTAACTTCAACATTTTTTTATTACTTATCAATTAATGTTCAATATTCTATTGGTATATATATGTTCCCATTTCAGTTTTATTTGTTTGCCCGGACCGAGAGGCAGTTTTATGTAAATAAGCTTCTGGTTCACTTTTTTTTTTTATAATTTGTGGCTTATTTGGTTTATTGTGGCTTATTTGTTGCTAAATTTTAACCACTTTTTGTTTCAAGTACTAATGAAAGAAATCCTATTGTTCTACACATAGGAAAATACTTTACTGTATATATTACTATCTGATGTGAGTAAGAGGATTCACATTCACTCGGTGCTTGTGTGAAACTTAGTTGACCCGAAGTTTAAGCATTTAAAAAATGACTTGTGTAGTTAATAAATTCCCATATTTTAATGCTACTATGGATATTTAATTGTTTTAGTTATTGTTCATAAAATATTCATACTATATAAATTTAAAAACTTCAATTTTGACTTATTTAAAAGAAAAATTTTTTTTCTCAATGAGCATGTTCTTATAACCAATTACATAANGCGCTGGCATAGCTACTGACTTTGAAACACAAATAACTACAAACAGTAGTTTCGTATACTAACGTGTTTGTGCACGCTTAACATTGGTATTTATTGTGTTGATGAATTTTTACAGTTGCGAGAAGTCAGCTTGTGTTATACACTTGTGTTAAGCTGAATAACTAATAGAAAATAAATTATTTACATTTTATTAAATGAAATTTAAAAATATAGCTTAGATATCTGCCAAGTCTGTGAATGCTCAGTGTGCATAAGAAAAGAATCAAAGATGACTCAGAATTCATTGAAAAAGTTAAAAACAGATTTGGACAGCAAACAAGACGATTACAATTCTAGTTTGATTAAACAATTTTTTAATTGTTATGTATCAATAATTACTTAATTATTTGTTTTTCCATAAAAATATGTTTAACAAAAAAATTTTATAACAAAATTTTTCTGTATCTCTTTAATTGTTTAAAAAAAAGCCAGGGGGGTGCAAGTGCACCCCGCTGCCGGCGCCCTTGGTTAGAGATCAAGTGTCCTCTCTTCAACAACAACAACAACAATCAAAATGAGTTAATTGCCTTAAAATATGATTCATCACATCTGACTCATACCCACTTTTTTGTTGTTGTAAATAACTTGAATTTTTTTACCCAAAATTACGCTCAATTTTGATTTATGCAGAATTAAATATAGTTGTAATTTTTACCCAGGTACCGACTACTCTGGAGGTTGTATTTATGACTTAAATTAAAATGTGAAACAATTTGTATAAACTTTAATCAGGGCCGTGTCTGAGTGAATGATGTGTGGGTGTTGAAAAAGATCCACCATTTCTTAAGATATGCGAAACAGTCAGAAAATCATTTTTAGGGTTCTTTAAAATGATTGGTTTTTATTTCAGACATTCCCAGAGTTTTCATTTTAACATTCTCAGTTCAATTTTGTTTTCCCACCTTTTTTGAAATAAAACGATAAAGAGCTCTTAATAAAAATTATTTACGTGAGCTTTATAATTGTGAGAAATTTTTTTTTCGATCTACTTAAAACACTCCTTTATAAGGCCTGGTTTCTTAGGACAGGACGCCGTCAGCTGGAAATCAGCGCTAACCTCTGATTGGTCCATTTACAATTGCCGTCCAACTCAACTGCAGAGGGATTACAACGTGACATTAACCACAGAAGCAATGTCGGACAACATCCAACAGCACATTAAAATCAGCCAAGATTTTGATTTTGACATTAAGCATAGCTTCTTCATTAAACATAGCACTCTTCATTTAGCTCAGCTATAATATGTTTTTTCTTGAATAAAGTCATTATTTGCTCTCTAAAACACTGNGTAGCAGATAAAAGGCTATTTGAATGTTTCATTCAATTGGATTATGAAAAAGCAAAGGATCTGGCAGTTTCTACAGTGAGACAAGAAGATAAGAGATGGAAAGAGGAAAGGGCCAAGAGAATAACCGGTTCCATATGTTATGACTTATATACCTACACAAGCAACAAAAATCCTGACTGGGAAAGGAAGTTAAGCCTGTTTGCACCTTCTTTTAAAGGAAATCAAGCTACGAACTATGGTAAATATGTTAAATTTTTAGGACCACATTTTTTTTTCTTAATTAATGTGCCATCTAATCACTTGATTTATTGTTGCAGGTAAGGATCAGGAGAATGCTGTTGTTGCTGCATATGAATTGGCAGCAAAAAAAAACAGTTGTAAAGATTGGGTTAATTGTGCATCCACAAGTTGCTTGGATAGGATTTAGTCCAGATGGTTTTACAATGAATGGCTCTGAATTGACGTTGTTAGAGACAAGGGCGCCGGCAGAATATTATAAAAGAGGGTGCAACCCTCTAACAAACTACCCTCCCCCCGAAAAATATTCTGCTATTACATTTTGTTTTGTTATTACTAAGGCCCGGATTTTGATGACATTTGCATTTTTTTGCATTTTTTGCATTTTTGGACATTTTTTGTCTTTTAGAGCATTTTTTAGATTTAAAAGGGCATTTTTCTTTAAATTTTTGGGGCGTATTTTGCATTTTAATGCATTTTT